AGTCTTGACCAGTGTGAGTACATAATAACAGTCTTGACCAGTGTGAGTACATAACAACAGTCTTGACCAGTGTGAGTGCATAAAAATATAGTCTTGACCAGTGTGAGTACATAACAACAGTCTTGACCAGTGTGAGTGTATAAAAATATAGTCTTGACCAGTGTGAGTACATAACAATAGTCTTGTTTTATAAATTTTCAGAGACAGACATATTTGACTTAAAGCAGCCTGTTTAATGTGAGTTTACTGGAAGACATACAGTTTATACCTTATCTTCATTCATGCTATTAAATTAATACTTTGTGTATAACGAGAGGGTTATTTTGGAAGTCATACAATTGTTGTTCACATGCTCATTGTATTTATTATCATTACTTTTATTAAAACACACCTGATACCTTTTCCAGGGTGCAGGTGAAGCTGTGCTAAGCTTATGGTATCCTGGTAGTTGTGGTTCCCCAGTTCAGATTGTGGACAGTCAGCTCCTAGGTGGCGACAGTGTAGTCAAGTGTAGAACCACGTCCAACGGGAAATATACTTTTGTTTTGGACATGAGAGTATGTAGTTAAAAGGGAGACATCCGAATATAATGTCAGCTTTAAACTTCAAAGTGTAGAGATTGGTTTTCTCCCAAACAGCTTTTCTAGACCCATGCTGTGTAATCAGTGGCTGAAAAAATAATTAGAAATTTATTTGTCAGTAGGATAAAAAATTAAAGCTAAAAAGTCTAAATGTTATTTAAAGTTTTTGATTATTTGATTAAAAACTTCACAACTTTAGGCTGAGAACTTAAGTAAAAAAAATTTTTTTGTAGAATATTCTCAATCTGTGGGATGTTGTGACACTGACTATGGTGATGAGTTGGCCGCAGCTCAAGATAAAGGATTTCTGTTTGATTGAGACAGCAGAAGGGGAGAAGTCATCAGGGTGAGCATTTTACTGAGGAAAACAATTTGTTTATGACATTTTTGTCATTTAATTTAAAGCAGTATAATACTTGACTGATCTGCTCATCACTTTTGTTTTCTACAAATATCTCATATATGAAAAAGTCAAAATGCAAGTAAAGCAATGAATACTAAAGTATTTTTAGATGTTTGATATATTTAAAGATAAACTAAAATTAATGTATTTTTCTGATGACATAATTTTTCTTGAACATCTGAATGTATTACAATATATTACAAAAATACTATGTTTTTCTATTTGTTATTTAGACTCTCTGCTTTGAAGATGGCAGCTTTAACAGTTCCAAATGATGGGAAATGTATCTTACAAGTACTGTCTCTACCAGCCATGAAGGCTACATATGAACTGCAGCTGTCTGCCGAGTCCAGCCTGGCTGAAATACCAGCCACACAGGTATGTTTCTGGCAAATTCTTTTTATATATAAAAAAAGTATGTTTCTATTTTTTCATTTGTCAAGACAGTTCATGATCACCTGTCAAAATATGCAGCATCTTTATCTTGTATAATGTAAAAGATGCAACATTTGATATGAAATATACATTATAGAAGTATTGTGTATTACAAATGAGTTGATAATGCAAAAACCGGCATGACTGATTAGTAATTGTTTGTTTTTGTCAGGAATCTATATTTGTTGTGGAAGGAATATCTGAAGAAAATGGGTAATGGTCATTTCCTATGTTACATTTTAATTTCAAGCTGAGTAAATGAAATAAGTTTAAATTAAAGATTTTAGTGAGTAATCCAGTAAATAGTAATATATATTTCTATTTATAAACTCCACTTGAAAATTAAGATGTTATGATGTGACTTTTTAGAAATATTTACAAATAATATTATATAAAATTCTTTGTTGAACTGATGTAATTTTGGTAATATTTTTTAGAAATGGTTTGGTTACTCAACTGAGAATACGATCATTGTCAGAGGCCCAACCTGAAACCAGGTAAGGAAGAAACAGAAGAACTTTATTTTGACTAAACCAAATATAATCCTTTAATGAAATTTTAGTATACTTTGCTCCTTACTTTTATAATTTAGCTGATGTAAAATCAACAGACAGATTAAACAAACTGATGACATGACTTTGCTGACTGTAGTTCAGTATTTTATATCGTTGATGCAGGAATGGTTTTGCTTATACATGTACATCTCAATTATTCAGGTTTTATAGAATTCTGCATAAAAATCAGTTTGAGGAAGCAGAGCAGTTTGCCAAAATGTTTGGTATGGATGTGGAGGTAAGAAATAGTCATTTTGTTTAAAAATAAACTTTGTGTTTTACTGATAAAAGAGCAGGATTTTAAGTATAACTCTTTGAAGTTTGTGTGAAAAAGAGTAATCACATTGAATTCCTCTAATTTCTTAGAGTACAGATTACCTGGTCTGATATTATAAAAGCTACCGTGCTAATACATAGAGTACTTTCAGCTTGTGTATAAAGTGAAGTCCAGTCACATTCTGGACAGACTTTCCCCCTGGAATATTGATAAGATACAGGATGAGGCTGAAGTTGGTGAAATATTCTCCCAACTAATGCAGTGTTTAGAGTTGATCAAGGTAGGAGAATTTCATTTGCGTATTAAAATCAACTGGTTTGCTAAATCTGAAAAATAAAATGATATATTTAAAATTGTTAATGTCATCTACATCAGAAGTTACCAATATTTTGTGTTATCAGGAACCCATATATATGTTATATATATATATATATATATATATATAACTTTTTTCTAGGAGCATTATGCATTATTTTTTGTTTTTCATTGATCTACAAATTCCTATAACTATAACTATTTTCTATGGGGCATTATTCATGAGAATGGTGTTGAAATAACTTTTACTTATTTCAGTCTTATAAACTCTTTACTTTCTGTACAACAATATTGAAATTTATGAAATTGAAATTATACAGATACAGAAAAGGAAGAAAATGATATACCCTAAAACAATAATAACTGAAAAGTAAATTATCTTTTGGAATTGTTAGCTTATTTATCTATTTATTTGTTTAATTGTTTGTTTATTTATTTAACTTATATTTTTCAGGATGATGCTCACATAGTAGAGTGCTGTGTCAATGCAGCCATGCCCACATTTGAAGCCACTCTTGAAATGCTATCATATGCCAGAACTCGGGTGAGCACAGTGGCAGCTTAGGTTTCATGATGTGGTTCAAATATAGTCAAATGGGATGTAACTGTTTTTATTAATACAAAAAGTTTTATTTTCTGAGAAGTGAAAATGTCTAACTTTTTCTCTAGTTGTACACAACCTTCCAACATTGATTTCATTAATGCATTATTTATTCCTTGTTGTTAACATGATTTTGACATTTCATTTAATTCCAGCTGAAACAGAGCCTGTCAGATATGAATGGTTATATTAAAGAAGATGAAAACCTCTCAAAGCCTGTTTTGATGACAAAGGTAAACAAAGTTATAGATGCTTTTAACTGTTAATGTGCATCAACTTACTACTTACATTTCTAACCAAATTGAAAGTTACATAAAGGCTCCTTATAATCTATTTAGGCAATGTATTGATTGGTGAAATTGTACATAGTTCTTTAAGTGTTGTAATTTTTCAGCTGAAATTGTGTGAGCAGAAGCTTTTAAATTTAAATATTATGTAGATATGATTAACTCCGTAGCCTGCAATCATTCATAAGCTAAAAGAACACTTTTAAGTTAAAAAAAAAAACATTCGGATTTATAATAAGGACATTGAATTAAAAAGTGTTAATAATTAATTTTTAAAGACCTTTAGAAAAATGAGCTTTTTATCTACCGGTCTTGTGCATTATATCATCCCGTTTTCCAGGTCCTAGATACCTTACACAGACTGGATACCTATCAGGTGGCATTTGGAATACACAGCTACAGGTAATAATAATAATAATAATAATAATAATAATAATAATAATAATAATAATAATAATAATAATAATAATGCACAACTACAGGTAATTCAAATTTAATAATTATTGCTTTAAAAACTTCCTGCAAGTAACCATGATGCATTGATTTAAGAAAAAGTCTGCAGTTATCTAATGAAGAGCTTTTCCTTATTGAGTGTTATCAAATTATATTTTATCTTTGTAGGGGGTCTCACTGGGAGGAGTTTAAGAAAACCCAGCCCCTGCGTGAGATACTGAAGTGGCTGCAAAGAGGAAATGTGTCGTGTGCATTCACTATTTGGAACAGACACTGTGTGAGTGCCATTGCTGAAATATGGGTTGCGAAGCCAGATATAGACTCTCCTTAACATAAGAATGGTACTGAGCACTGGCATTAATGTAGCATAGTTGAATATGAATTTTGGAGATACAGATGCATAAAATATTGCATGTATTTAAAATTTGACATACAACCATTAAAGAGTTATATTAAGAAATTAAGGTTGCTTTGTAAAGTTGAGTAAAGTTCTCCAGTATTCTTTGACAACATTTTCTAATTTATGCCTTCAGTGTGAATTTGAAGAGAATTTCTCCAAGGCTGTGCTAGCTGACATCTTGGGTGCCATACCAGAAGATGTGCCTTCTGATGACATCAAGCCATGGCTGAAGCAAGATTTCTTTCCCTTTGTCATCAGAATACTTCCAGAAGAACTGGTGAGATGATATCTTGATTCATAATTACACTTGTAATATTTGTTATTGACTTGTGAAGGGTTTGTTCTGCATCATTCAAAATAAGGGTATTAAATGATTGCATATAAGTAATTTCTTTTTGATGTAAGGGTACAAAATGGACATTTTTGCCTATTGTCTCTCCAAGATTAATATTGAAGAAAGAATGGGGCATATTTACCTGGATGGACTATCGGAACACTTGCCAAGACAGAGAGGCATTGACTAGTTGGTGAATGTTTAATCTGTACCCCGAATATCTTAAATAAGTATGGTGTATTTTTATGTTTTAAATAATATGATTCCATATGATTGCAGGGTTACATAGCTGGTTGGCTGGAACAAAGGGCAAGAAATCTGGAACTTCTTGAAAAAGTTAGTGCAATAGAAGTTAAAAGTTTGATTAACGTTGTTAAGAAGTTGGAGTAAGCAGTTGCTTGGTACAGTCTTAAAAGTGTACAAAAAAATTCAGTGTTGAAAGTACATTCTTTAAGTCACAAACTTTGATAACAGTGCTTAAATTTTCCGATGACTGTGATGCATGTATTTATTAGTTTAATTTGTTTCAAACCTACCCATTCCCAGATGTCATGGCCAGCTAATGCTCTTGAGATGGCTGAGCTGTTACATAGTGCATGTTCTGGGTCACCAAGTTGCATGGGAGACAGGGGACAGGCAACCCCAGGCCAGTTTGCAACACAGGTGAGGGACTTTAATATGTCCAGTCATAGGTAAACTGCCAGTCCAATTGGTCATGACCACCTGAAAAGCCAGATGACCAGCGATATTTTTGATAATGCAGGTCTTCTGGACGGACAAGGTTTATCTGGAAATACAATACATAAAAATGAATCATGCATAAGGATAGACTAAAGGATCTTCACATAATTAGGAGGATCTGCAAATTTCTTGTACTGCAGGTCCTCCAGACCTCCAGTACCTCCAGTTTCCCCCATGTCTGTATATCTTCATATTCTTTAGTTTATTATTAGTAATTATGTTACAATGTTTTCTTGCAATGATATGATTTTTTTTTTTTTTTTTTTTTTTTTTTTGCCTGGATAATATTATGAAAATATTTTGGTATTTGAAAACAATTTATTTGCTATGTGTTAATGATGTGATTTTATTAGAACAGTGTGTGAACTTTTCATGCTGTTCTCTGAATTGTATTTCAGGTGTGCAACTTGTCTTTAAGTTATTCTCGAAGAAACCCTGAAAAGCATGTAAGTGCTATTATTATTATTAATAATGGTGATATTAAATGAAAGAGATAACTAAATTAGCAGAATCTGTAATAAGTATTAGTATCAGTTATCATTTAAAATCAAAGTAGTGTGGTTTAAGTGAGATTTAAGATTGGTTTAATAATGATTGAACTTATATTTTCCCTGAAGTCCACATGAAGTGAAAAATCTGAATATTTGCAATTTGGTTTACAGAGTGAACAATTCGGTGCATCATTTGAGAAGCTGTACAGCCTGATTTGTAACTTACGGGACCTTTTGAGCTTACACACGAAGTACAACTGTAAGCTTTCTTTGGCTCAGTATATGCAGGTAAAAATAGTTCTATAGTGTAGTCCCATAATAAAGATGATATCAACAATAAAAACATTGAGCACTAACGAAAAAATCTTTCTCTACTGCAGTCGAATTTAAGATAATTTCCTCTTGATCAGAATCCAAAAGTGATCTTTAAATTTCTGCTGTAAAAAAGCTAATATTTATGGTAGAGATACAATGTAAATGGTACAGTAAAACCAAGGCCGCATTCCCATAGATTTTAGATCGATCTATCCCCGTGGGGAGTCTTACTAGATTACTGTCAGATAATCCGGCTTAAATGTCTGTCCCGCCTACTACAAGCTGTAAGGGGGTAATTAACTTTCGTGCCCGTTCGGCTGACAGCTATTTAGTGTGAACCCCCAGGGAGTTAGGTCGATCTAGTAGGATCAATCTAATCTCTGGGAATGGGGTCCAACTGTTACAGGGAGAAAAGGGCGAGTTTTTTAGATTGAAAATGGATGTGGGATCCACATGTTAAGTACATGAATTATGACTGAATTATTTTTTCTTCCTAGGAAACCACCGAATCCCTGACCTACCGTATGCTGGATCGTGTTGTGGCTATCGAGTTGATCCCAGACACCATCAGAAAGGTTATCAGACCATACATGAATGAACACAACCTTAAAGAAGATCAGATGCTGTTTCAGTACATTGAGGTAATAGCACAGCAACATTAAATAAACTGTGTCCCAACATCTAAGGAAATGTTCCTATCCAGACATTCAGTATTTACATGTATATAATATATTGTAATTGCCCTTGCCAAGCCTTAAACAGGCTTGTCCAGTCCTTACAAATAATAACACCACTAGATTGGCATGGCCCTATTTTGCTGGCATTATGATGCTGTTTGATATCATGATTGAATTTTTATATGTCTATTAAGTTTACATTTATTTTGTTAATCCAGGACCTCTTAACAAGGACAGGACAGTTCAGGTCAGACTATGGGGAGGCCCCTTGGGAGGCTAAAGCCATAGCTGTCATAGGCTGCATTAAAGACCCTGGTGTAAGACAGTACTTTTATTAGTGTTTTCTTTGGTAGACATACAGATCTAGATATCACTGAATTACTTTTACTGTCTTATATGCTACATTCTCTTGACTCCCTCAGAAAAGTTCTTTTTAGAAAGGAAATTTACTATTTTCAGAATTATTTGAATTGCTATTAACTGACTTCATCTTATTTACATAAGTCTACCAAACATAGTGTATAACTTACAAATTAGGACTGCTATTCCACGGTCAGATCTTTTATCCTTGTATACTCAATATTCTGTGTATTTTTGAAGTATAAATGCCAGGCTACTACTATATTTGCTGTGTATTTTTTCATAGTATAAATGCCAGGGTATTCTGAAGGTAATGCTCCAGGCCTACATCCCCTGGACCCCAGCCACTGAGGCACTGGTGCAAGAAGGTCTGGCATTGGACCACCCCAGGTCAGTCTGTACCCTTGTTAAATATTATAGGCCCTATTCCTATAGACACCTCGGTCTACAAGGATCCACCCAGCTCTGCGGGGGTTCACCGAAGTGCAATCAGCTTAACATATTAACACGTCTATGGCTAAATAGAATACAGAAAAGCTGGTGATTATATTAATATGTTGGAAAAAAGAGGAGATATTTGGTTTAAACAAAATAATATGCAAGAACAAACCTTCAGGGTAATACATTTAAATGAGTCTTCACAGCAAAGTTGATAAGTGTTTCTATTTTAATTTTCATTTTCAGAGTGGCAGAATTGAAAGAATTATGTGGTTTGATTGAGTTGAAAGGAATGTTGGCCAGATATCAACTCCGACATTTTAATACAATTGATTCTTCCAAGGCAGAGGTAAGATTTGTCTGTGTTTCCCTCAGTTTTTAATTTTGTAAGTCAGCAATTGCACTTTTATTCAATATTTGTATCATTTTATTCTATTTTTCTTCTGTTCATTTCTTTCTTCAACCATTCATTTCTTTCACAGCTCTTGCATAAGAATAATATACATCAGTAGTAATTTTATTTCATGATATGAAATACAATTGTAATTTACTCAAAGTTATAAAAATAAGAAATTGCAGCATTCATCTTGTCTTTGAAGTGATTGTATTGTCATTGGATTACACCTTTCCCATGAACTGTTTAGTATGGGCAAGACTATTGCAATTTACAGAGTTTGTATTTCAACATTTTTCAATATTTCATATAAAATTATCTTTCCTAGATACTGATGAAATACATCCTGTCCTTGGATAAACCCACTGCTATGGAAGATGCCCTGAAGGTGGTGAAGACCTATGACAGCGTGACAGAGCAGCAGGCCTATGCCTGCAGGATAAGGTTCCTGATCTCTGGAAACAGGGTAGGGAGCTGTCATTTTGTTAACTTTAGCATGTATAATTTTTGTCCACATTTAGGCATTATCTGATTGAGTGTGATCTCTTGCAAGGCTCCTTGCTGCTGTTGTAGTAAATGTCCCATTTGGTCATTTATGGATAGCTGACGTTGCTCAGTGGTAGACATACCTGTTGACTCTGCTGTCTTCGGTGTGTATTCCATTGCATGATTTAACATCATTGCTGGGTCCACATAGGCTGGCATACTGTATGGTTGCTGTAGCTGTGACAGCTGGGCTGCCCTAGAGGACTGTGGAGGTTGAGGTGTCCTTGATAATTGTTCCAGCTGAGTGGACATCATAAATTGGCGTGACTTCCTCTCCACTGGCACTCCTAAAGGTGGCGGCTGTTGCTCCAAGTGTGGGAGCTGTGCATCCATGCGTGACTGCTGTTTGGCACTGATGTGTAACTGAGAAGCATGATCGGATTTTGTTATAGGATTATGTACTTAAATACTATCAGCGTAACCTTGTGTATCCACGGAATTGAAATACCGTTCAATGGTAAAGTTGTGTTCCAACAGAGATTTGTCCAAGGCGTCTTCCTGTATTTCAGCTTCAATTTCCCTTCTTCTTACTTGAGCTCTGGGGGAAAGTACTTTCAACTAGTCTTTCATTTCAGATTCTTGTTCACAGTATTGACGTCTTATTTCAGCTTCTGTGTGTTCAAATTCTAGTTATTCGTTAGTGATAGCGAGTGCTGCCTTTGCCTTCTGAGACTCTGATACTGTGCATAAACTGTTGGCTTGGAATTGTCTGAGCGTTTGTCTCAATTCCAGCAAGCTTCCATGGAAAGCCACTGTGTGATTTCCATAGGATGAATGAAATGTTTTTTCACTCTATATAGCGCACGAGGGCTATACAGTCAGAGGAAAGCCTGAGGAAAGGCATAAGTTATTCACTAAATCACTGTTTATTTCAAGCCGGAATACACAGGACATGTGAAAAAACTAGAAAAGAAAAATAAGAACAATAATAATAATACAAATGTAAGCACTATGTGATCTATAGAAAAAAAGTTCTGAAGTATTTCAGATAAATTACAAATGTCAACTGTCAACTTCTGTTGCAGATGCGTCCTAACTAAATGTATTAAAATTCTTTCTTAAATACAGTAAATTAGACCTTCACTTTTCAAAGAATATGTGCAGCACAAAGTTTACAAAAATACCTTCACTGACAACAAAGTTAAACCATTCAACTCACCATTTATGCCTATCCTTGGAATAATAAATTGTAAGGCACAATCTCGAAATTACAAAAGAACAAAAACGCGATGCAGATCTTTCTCCTACAAAGTCACTGGTAGTAATGTATAAAGTCATGGGAGCTGCTTTGAGTGTAAAAGTATTCAAATATGCAAATGTATGTTGTATCAGAAGTTACTGATTACCTTGCACCTCAAGCACAATACAAGAAAAGCAATATAAACTTTACACATCTGGTTATAATTTGAAATTTATGTATGGTAAAGCAGTGAAAGGTTAATAAAAATGCAGTATGGGCTTTTTTTCTGGTGGGTTTACTATCAAATTTCTTTCATCAAATAATTTGATTCAGTTCAATGAAACCAAATCTTTCAGTCAACTTGCGTGTAATTCCTTCTGCAGATAGATGAATGTGTAGAGCTGCTGAAATCTTTGCCCACAGCCATTGCAGTTCCTCTGTGTAAGATCACCATCACAGGAGTACAAGTACTGCTGGGGCAGGACTGGCATATTAACCCACAGGCAAGTAGAAACCATGATGGATTTTGGTAGATCACGGGTCTTTTTTATGTGCATGTTTTGTGACAGTCATTGTGATTTTATTAAGGCTAGTCAAACTTGGATCCTTTTAAAAGATTACGTTCAGTAGGGGTGTATGAAGGCTTCGATTACATCCTATGTTAAAAGCTACTGAAAATACATGGTTACTTGGAAAATTTTGTTAAAAATCTCTTCATTTTCTTTGAATATTTTAGGCAGTGCAGGAAGAAATAAAACTTTTCACAAAAGCTGGAACAAAAATCTTAAGACTACTTCTAGGAATGCTGGAAGGTATTTCTTGTTTTTATGAAATATAATTTTCAGGTTTTACATTAAGAATCTGCATGCATTCCTTTTGTGATTATTTGAGCAAAAGTTCATAGTTAGAAAGTTATACCCTTTTTGGGTTTTTCCTCTCTTTGTTTACCCATTTGATTTGTAATTTTTGTTTGGTAATTTGATGTGATTTTCTTACTTTAGATCCTGATGACATTGAGGAGCATGCTACCCTGTTGAAAGATTTAACAAATCTCTATGCTTTACAAGTAAGTCAAAAATGAATGAATTCTACTGTCTACTGCAATGTGTTTCATTGGAAAGTATTGATGTGTTTATGTTGTGTGGAGGCATGCATCAGTCTAGATAGAACTGGATATATAAGAAAACTGTTTGTAAAAACTGTGATATGTAAAAATGGACACAAATTAGTTTGCCCTCTTGTAATTCAGGTCATGAACATACAGAAATGCTAATGCTGGTACCTATTTGATATCTTTTCATTTTGCAGGAAGAGTTTGGTGAATTTGTTCTGCTAAACAATTTTTCCAATGCTGACTATAGAAAAGATATGCTGACCAGACATGTGAGAAAGTTCTTTGAACAGAGAAACAAAAATGAAAACGCATCAGAAGGGGTAAGATGGAACCTATCTACTGTATTTAATTAGTTACATTTCACTTAGAATGGACTAAAGAATTAGTTTGTTTAAATGGGCTATTAAACTGTTTATTGTGTTCTTAATGTGTTATTTATTTATTTATGAAATGAAATGAGAAATAAAGTAGCAGCAATAAGATGTAAAATAACCATTTATTTTCTGTCACCATGGTCAGCAATCTTCAACAGTTTTAGTCAGATTGAGTTTCAAAGTCATGAAATGCGTTCTGTTAGCATAATATTCCCACTTTTTCTTAAAAGTTTCCTGACAAGCCTAGTTCATTGACTTTAAAGCTGTTATTTTAAAATTTTATAATTATTTATTTATTTATTTATTTAATTTTTTTTTTTGATAAGATGTTTTCTGCATTTTGTTTTCAGGATTGTAAGATCAGCGACCCTGATAGGAAAAGTTCTCTGAGGAAGTCAACCAACTTTACTCATATATACAGGTGAAAGTATAATTGTATTGCTTGCTTGTTTTAAATGCAGCTTTGGAATTTTAGATAGTAGTTGATTTTGACCCTTTGAATTTCACACATAATTTACGTTATATTGCACAATATTAAACTTTTAACTTTTAAAATTGTCAATGGTGTATTATCCATGATCAGATTCCTAGGCAAAGATTTAATACAGAGTCCAAATGTTCACGTAAGGTTTGTGTTTCAAATTTCACAATTTCAGTATAGTTCAGTCATATTTGATTGTTCACATTCTCTAGGCTTGCAGAAGTGCTGGGGTTTTCAAAAGAAACACTGAGAGGGCAGATTGCTCTGGCTGCTGCCACCAGGGGGGATGTGACCACTGCTCTTGGTATCTGCAGGTGTGCATCTGGTTTTTCTCTATCACCTTTCTCTCTCTCTCTCTCTCTCTCTCTCTCTCTCTCTCACACACACACACACACACACACACACACACACACACACACACACACACACACACACACACACACACACACACACACACACGAGCGTGCTCAGGAATAATAAGGTATTGTTTCAAGCCAATTGGTCACAGTTTTATGCACAAGCTTAAGCATACATAATTACATTTTTTTTCCATCAGTGAGTTGTATGAGCAGGCCCCCAGTGAGGAGACAGCTGAGGTGCTACTACAGGTGGGCCACACAGTATGTAAGCTGTACACCAGTGAAGACTGGGTGAAGGATCTACACACCTGCAAGGACCTCCCGTCCAGACTCCATGAGCTGGCCAGGTGGGCACTGGTCATCTGTCCTCCAGGTAAAGTGTCTCCTGTTACCTTTGGTCACTTAGTCAAAGGTTGACTTGGAAAACGTGCAGAGATGTTTATTCTGTAATCCAAGGCCTCCGACCAAAAATACAATTTTACTGTGTAGTAATGTCCTAAATACATATATGTACACAGAAAAATGCATAGACGTTACATTATATCAGTAAATATATACATATTGATAACTAGTGCATGTTGAATTATCAACTTACATAAAGGTGGAGTGCCATCTGTCTTCTGTGTAGTATGTCATCTGTCACCCAACTTGATGTCATATGGACACTTGTTGTCATATGGACAACATGTCAACTGTTGCTTTGTGGTGAATCATCTTGTGATGAAGATGTATACCCTGGCACCAGATCAAATTAAATGTTCTCCTTTTGTCAGCATTAAAGTCATCATTTTCTCCCTCTTTATGAATTACTATCCATTTTCTAAAAGAGATTTTAGATTCATTAGAATTTTTGATCTTTGTATCATATTGCAATTTTGCAAGTCATTGGGGGTATGTTTATATTTAAGTAATGTTACATTAATATCTTATGCTTTTAATACAAATGTTTGTAAAACTGCATGAAGATTTTTTTTAGATATGATAGCAGATTGTTTGGAGCTTAGTAAGAACACTGCACTGATGCTGACCTTGTACAGACAGTGTGAGAGTGGGGCCTATGGAGAAAGAGTTCAGGTATAGGCAGGAGAAAAAACAACCTGACATGACATTTTAACAGTTAGAAAGAAGTTTTGTACTGGTCTAAAGAAAAAAAATTAGATAGAGAGCATCTGTAGGCTAATGGGAAAACAAGTAACTTTTGAAAAAGGATTGATTAAGCAGTAAAGGATAAGTTTCTGTTGTTTTTATTGTAGCTATTTTTATTCTTTTTATATCATTATGTTACTTTTGCCAATTGGCACATGTATAACATATCAAGTATTAAGATTCCAGATAGAAAATACAGGATTTTTGTCTTGTGTTTCTAAAAAGCATATCTTGTTTTGCTTTGGGATTGACAGAGTGCTGGACAAGGTGACCACGACCAGTCTGGCCAGGACCTCTACAAGCAGTGGACATTTGACCCTTTCTTTGAGGAGGATGGACTTGTACTGGACTCGTCAGTCACACTCACCATGGCTGCAGAGTATGCCATTACTTTACTACCAAAAGCTGGTAGGTACACAAGCAATAACAATAAAATATTTAATAGTTTTTTCTCTGAGAAAGGAAAGATATAAATCTTATTCCTATAAATCTTCAGTTTTAACACCATCAGCCTAATTCTCCTCTTCAAGCCAAAATAATTGACTGAGATTTGCTTGTTTTTCAGAGCGTGGTAAAGCCCCTTACCTACAGCACAGGATTCAAGGACAGGCAAAGAAAGGTGGGTAAACAGTGTTGAATAGGCAATGGCCATCTAACTCATGCTGGTAAACATCTCTTCCTAGCTACAGAATACAAGAACCACTTGCTGCAAGTCTTTTATTTAAGTTAATTTAGTTTAGTTAATTTATCTGTGTCCAACTTGGTAAGTGGTAAGAAATAACCAAGTTTACATGGTCTGCTTAAGACCTTAGTTTACTTTAAAAGATACCATTGGTAATTTAAAAATAAAATTTTGGTTTCTCATGACATGTTTTCTTCTATTAGATATTTGTCTTAATGTGTGTTGATTTTTTAAAAAACTTTTTTGTTTAATGTCTTATTAATAACATAATAAAAACATTTTGTCCTTTAATTGTCAACAGTCTTTTCTCAGAGTACATTTCTTTTTGCAGCCTCTTCAAACTCAAATGTAGAAAACACAGAAACTGTGCCAGGGGCAGACACTCCGTTATATAAGACCTTAAATGCCACTGCCCTGGACTTGGTTCAGTATTTGAGAGAGAACAGCCAGTTTGAGCTCGCCTTGAACATAACTCATCAGACCATAGGCAGCGTGCTGCAGCATCACTCTATACAGACCATGGGATATGAGGCTCAGGACCAGGTAACACATGTTCTGTTATATATTGGGCAGGAATAAAGTTTATTGAGACTATACTTCGAGAATACAACTTTTTTTAGACTTAAAAAGGGATTTTAAACTGTTGCAATATCGTTCAGTTTCATCCTTTAAGATTGTTAGCCTCAAAGTCAGTTTCATGTCTGCATTTATTTTTTTGTCAATCTTTTTTGATGCCAGTGAATCCAGTATTAAGAATTAGAACTAAATTATTTATTTTATAAATTTATTTTTTGAAAAAGTTCTAACCAATAAAATACAGAGTTGGATATCTCAGTTTCACTTAGGAAACTGAAAGCATACTTAATATCATGGAAATCAAAAAGCGAAATAAAAAAAATGATTATTTAGAACATTTATTTTAGCTTTAAAAAATAACTACTGTTACAGGCACTCAAGACAGCTCTTAATGAAGACAAGAGATTGGTGATGAAAGCTGTGCAGATTGGTCTGGTAACACAGAAGGATCTGGTGTCCACCCTGTTCTGCAAGGTAAAGATTAGGTTTCTCTCTGTTAAAGGTATTTGTATTATAATTTATTATATAAACAATTAAAATATGTGAATGGGTCGGACTGTAAAACACAGTCAGAAAATTGAAATACATGGATTTGCTCTGTTTATTCTTGTCATAAGCACATATTTAGAGTATGTTTTTTTCTCTTCCAGCTTTTCACAAAGAAGCATGTTGACCATATCTTGGCTGTGGGCTACATCTGCTCTCTGCAGAACAAGAAAATTGCTATGGAAATGATGACAAAATTGACCCGCCAGGCAGGGCTGAATTACAAGACTTTGCTGGTATGTCTTTTAAGATTTTGCTAAAGTACATGTATGAAAAATTATGGACTTTGTAGATTATTGTCCCAATCTACATTACATGAAACCTTTTATTTATTTTTTTTCTTGCTTGACTGTGTACTTTTAAAATTTATTAAAAAGATCTTTTGTCACTAAAAGTTTATAAAAATTAAAAATATTTATTCCACTTTATTTCATTTACACTTCAAATATTACAGTAACTTTAATTGTAACAAACTGTAACATTTGGTATTTATGTCTCTTATTTAAAAAGAAATATTGAATTTTTAAAAAAAATTTATTCCAGGCAATTGCTACTGTAGGAAAAGACTATGCTGTTCTTTCCAAGGAACCCAAAGTACTGTTGAAATGTAATGAAATGGCTGCCAATGCAAAATGGGGACACAAGTTTTCTAAGTTTAAGGTAAAATGACACATCTGCTTGGGAAGGAAATGAAAAAGGCATACACAGGGGTTGGGGGGGGGGTTATAGATATTGTTTAAGTATATTTTTACTGGTAGAATAAAGCCAATACATTGGATAGCAGTTAACTAATTAAGACAACTAAAATGGATTTGTACGTTTTAAACATTTCAGATATCTTTCAAAGAAGCCTACGAAGGCAAAGGGGAGGAAAAGAGAAAATTAATTCCTCAGTTGGTCCACCATGAACAGGTGGAGCTTGAACTAATTGGAGAATATTGCAGGTATGCAATGATTATGTTGTCATTATTTACGAAAGTTTATGAAACCCAGACCTACCTGTGTCCATTTTAACTTTGCTTCATAGTTGAAGTTAGTTGTATGATTTTTTTCATCCATCCTTTTTTCATACAGAATTGGTATTGTGTTTTCAGAGCCTTTAACCTAGATGAAAATGAGGCATTGTTTGAGTATCTTGAAGCACTACTGTTGGGTAAATCCCACCTAACAGTGAGTGCCCGCCACAGGATGGCTACCAGAGTGATAGAGGGCATTACTGCCAAAGACAAGCTGTTACCTAAACTAAATAGCATTGTGTTACAGGTATGTTACTGGCATTTTACATGCATGCTGGATATGGGTATTTCAATGTGACAATGTCTGTTCCTTTCTGCTTTGGCAGGTACTTTGACAGGCCATACTTGGTCAATGCCATCTTTCAGCCTATAGTAAGGCATGTTTATCCCCAACAGGGCAAGTAGTTAAAAAAAATCACCCTGCATAATAGAAGGATACTGAAATGCTATGCAGTGTACATAATCGGCTTCACTAGTAATTGTACTCTTCGTATCTTCATGTTAACATGTTTCCATAAAAATCTCCCTTTGGTTGATTGTAATTGCTAAACAGTTGTTCCTTATGAATGTGATGGCAGACATCAGTTACAGCACAGTTCTGGATTCTTTTACAATTTGGTTCGTTAAGAGCCGTCAGATTTGCCTCGTAAATTATCGTTGTTTTTCTAATTGTATTTATTTATTTATTTATTTTACTTTGTACCATTTCAAATATGATTATTTATAACATGTTGAATTACATTCTAGATTGATCCATATGCATATGAAGAGCTGGATTACATGCTGATCAAAATCAATGAATTGGATTCCAGTGCCTATGTGCAAAAGGTAGGTTTTGCTTGAGTCTGGTAAATGTGTAGAATGTGAATTTGGCTTAAATTGCAGTAACAGAGCATAGTTTTCTTTTTTTGTCAATATTTTGCATATTAAGAAAAGATTTTTCAAGTATCCTTCCTTATAAGCAAATCTGATATAGTAAAGTTTTTATGTAGCGCTTACATGTGTTGGTTTCGTGGTATAAAAGTGTTTCATCAACTTAGTAAGATTTATTATTTTTACCCTTAATTTTCTATGAATGTTCAGATTTTATTTCACCACTACTCTTTATATGCTATGAAAATCTTGTCTTTTTATGCTTTGATTTAAAAAAATCTAAAAATTTGATACTAACTTTTCAGGGCCTAAAACTGCTAGAATATTTGTCCTTTTACGTAAGGTCTGCCCCTCCCTCGGATTATGAGATCAACTACAAACATATCACTGAGGATGAACAGGTTTGTTTTTCTTTTTATTTGAGAAGACAATATTTTCAGTATTTTCAAATGGTGATGAAATTCACTGTAACTGTATTTTGAAACTAGAAAAAAATATTTTTATGATTAACAACACAACAGAACAAGTTGCTTTTTATGATGACAGTGACAATTTCATTCAGACACAAGCATGGATTTGTTTAAGTATTGACCAAACTTATTAAAATGTTTTATTTCTCAGACACTTCAGGTTTCCCTATAAAGTATTGTATGTTACTTCCTTATAAAGGAAAAATGATTTCTGTTTTAGCTGCTAGGTGGAGGCAGGGCCTTAGCACCACTGTCTGAGAAGAGGTTGCCCTTCCATCCTCTTCTCATGGGAGAACCCTGGAAAATCATAAGTATGTAGAAAAACTGTGTAGATCTATTACTTTTTTTGTTATTTTGCAAACAAAAAATGCTGTCACACATTACCCATTATATTTTAACCATTTTTGTTTTAACATGAGTGGTTTAGCAAAATTCAAGAATGATAATTCATGTTTTGTGATCACATCACTTATGGTATGGGTGTTTGTGTTACAGGTTGAATTTAATATTTAAATTTTTATATTGCAGCCCCAGAACTGAATGCAAGTACAGTTTCTCTTTGGCTGCCTATCACACAGCTACTCAAGGTAAACTAGGTCAATAGATAATTTAAGAATTGCCTGTATTGTTTGATCTTTTCTGTTATTTATATAAGGATAATATTCCTTTCTGAACAGGTGTTATAATGCAGATACTATTAGGAAGAGGAAACTATAAAGTCGTGAAGCAGATAATATAAAGTTTTTAATTTATTAAGATTTGACATTGTTTTATCACTGCTTGCACCAAAGAGACGGTGCTTATCAGCATTCTTTGCTGAATTTATTTAATCGTATTAATTCTTCCATTAGTTGAACACAGATCAGGTATACTTAACCACCATACAGAACATCATTAAGAAGCATGTGGAAGGCAAGAAAGCCAAGGAGACACTGGACAAGAGTAAATGTAGCTGGAATCCAGACACTGATGTGGACCTGAAGTTATTTGACAGTGTGAGGAAGCTGCTGCTCAATGTATCTCACTGTGAGATGGCAGTAGCTTGTGGTAGATGGGTGGTGCAGGAACTGCCCATGGGTAAGTGCCTCCACAATCCCCCCCCCACGCACACGCATACACGCACACACACACACACACACTTCTATATGTAAAACAGGCTGCCTTGTTTTCACTGGAGTTAGTACTGCTGATTTATCTTGTGTCAAAGATACTAAAATTTTGGACTTACGGTTGAGAGCAACCTAAATGGCTGTGTAAGATATGCCCAAGATAAATTTTGATAATTCAGATGTATGTAAGAGGATCAGTTTATTCTAAATTTTAGTTCAATCTAAAATGTTTAGTATTTCATGGTGTCAGTTGCCTGACATTAAAAGAGAATTGTCAGAATGTTTTAAGTTTAATTTTAATGTCAGTTTTACAGACTGCAGCTTTTAATAATTTGGCTAAAATCATTGAGCAAATGTACTTAACAATGTGTGTAAGATTTATTTGATCAAATGTATGTTATGGATACCAAGCTGTATTTACAGTAAGTGGCTATCATTTTTCTCCAGGTGCTGAAAAAGTGGTAGCTCTGAAGTTCTGTGCTATGTTGGCACAGAAATGGTTAGAGGTGTGTCCTCAAGAGGTAAGGTGATAATGGTCTAAGTGATTGTTTGCCTGAGAGAGAGAGAGAGAGAGAGAGAGAAATTCCTAACAATATACCTAATAACCTCTGTCTGTAAATTTGAATTATATTTTCATTTCAGGCAACTCAAACTAATGAAATGCTTAAATCACTCTGGCTTTTTTTTGTAGGGTCCAGAAAAGGTCAGAGCCCAGGAAGCATACAGCAAGTTCTCCCAGATGTGGTGTCGCTTGGCCACAGAACAGGTGCTTTACCAGAACAGACTGGCAGAGGAAGAGCTGCTTAGCCTGGCCCCACGGCCCACCAAACTGATCATGAAGCTGTATGACCACCCTAGCATACTACAGAGAATGGAACCTGGAGCACCCAGCAGTTTACCTGGTAGAAAAAGTTATCACTGTAGTATAGCAGGGGCGGATCCAGAGATATTTTCTGACAGTCTTCCACATTATCTTTGTTGATCCATCCTTCATTTTTTGACTGTCTTCCGACAGAAAAAATTAGGTACTCATCAATGTAAACCTAAAAATTTGACCGTCTTCCGAAAGACCCAGAAGACCGCCTCAATCCGCCCCTGTATAGTACTGTATTATTACTTATATGGCAGCGTCATCATGTGCAATTATAGATTTATAAATCAAGGAACTAGGTCAGCAAAGTAAGTTTGAATGTTAAATGTCAAGTTATTTCATATGAAGATGGTATTGTTTTATTTATAATGAATAATTTATGGGTTCTTGCTATGGCTGAATACAATAAATTACAGATAATTTGCTCTGATAATAATTCACAGTAATGTCAAGAAACTACCTTTTTTAACATTTTTTCTTTTTTTTTTTTTTTTTTTTTTTTTTGGTCAAGATTTTGTATATTTTTTTTCAGACATCCACAAAATAGCAGACAGTGTTGCAGAGGTGAATAAAGTCAATGTTTCCAAGATCCGTCTGACTCTGGTAGAAAAATGGATGCCCTCTGCATCTCAAGCAAAACAAGAGGAAGAAGACACTGTAAGTTACTGGGAGTTCAAGACAGCTTTTTTTTTAAATGTATATATTTATATATAATTCTAATAGAAATACATGTTTTATTTTGACTTAAAATCAGGAATTTGTTAATTTTTTTATTTTACAAATTAAAATGACTTCAAGATGTAAAATTGTGATAAATTGCAGATAAATCCTTCAGGCAATAAGAAATTTTAAATGAAGATCTAAAGTAATAGGGCAAGTTAGGATCAACAGTCAGAAATGCTTTTTCTGTATCCATTTAGGTTGTTCCAATTTGTAATATTGTGGGTATTCAGCAGTTGAATTGCTTACAGATATTGCTTTAAAACTTCATCAGTGAAGTTTCAAATCTTGTCAAATATTTTTGAAATTTGGACAGATGATGCATAACAAAAATAAAAATCTGTGATAAGCNCTATTGAAGTTGAATAGGAAGTCATATACTGGCAATCTAAAAGTGACCTTAAAATTGACCTTTGACCTACTTTTCACCATGAACTGAACTTTGCATATTTTGCTTCTCCTTTATCTCCAAAACTGGCAGAGATAGGTCCATAGGTCCATAGTTACTATTGAACGTGAATAGGAAGTCATATACTGGCAATCTAAGTGTGACCTTGAAATTGACCTTTGACCTACTTATTATCATGAACTGAACTCTGCTAATTTCTTTTTCTTTTAACTCCAAACCTGGCAGAGATAGGCCCATAGTTACTATTGAAGTTGAATAGGAAGTCATATACTGGCAATTTACTGTGACCTTGGAATTGACCTTTGACCTACCTTACGATGAACTTAACTTTGATTGTACCATTTTTAGTTATATATATATTTTTTGCATATTTTGAAAATTCTTGTTGACTGAATTTTTACAGCTTGGCAAGCACAAGACTGGTGGCTGTGTTCCTTATTTTGTATATGTGGGGGTCTATACGAATGCGCTTGCTCCAGCTGGTGGTACAATATTCGGAGGCGGTATCGCCTCTCTGATCCTCTAGTTTAGTTTACGATTCTTATACTCCAACTGAAGCATCTCTTTTAGCAATTTTTATTCCATTTCTTTATGCTTTTGAAAGGAGCTTTTTTTTAATAGAATAGTGACTTAAAAAGATAATTAATTGAAACATTATACATTCCAGGGTGACCTACCTGTTGCAGCATGGGCTACTGGAAACCAATGCATTGTTCTTGTTGAACTGTGCTTTTAAGGTATAAAGCTGTAAAAATTTTGATGTTTTCTAGAAAAGATTGAAGATTCTGTGTTCTCTTTTATGCTTCTAGAAGTTTTTGTTGTTGTTTTTAAAATTAAGTTCATTTATTTTATTGTTTGCACAAATTATGATCTTATATCTGGGAATTAGAGGTCTGATAAAACTAAATCTTGACCCATGATTTTGTCACCAATTTGATAACCATTCAGAGAAAGGGGAAACAAACAATCAGACGACAACAATGCCAGATGACTGTGATATTGCAACTTTTGATGTTATCTTGAAGTACATTGATATTCATAAAATAGTTACTGCTTTCTGTTTATGATGCTTTGCTGAGCTTTAAAAAAAAGCAACATCAACTCGAATTCAATCAGTGATTTGATTTCATTTTGGTTTCTTACTGACATTAATTGGCTCATAAATACAATTTCAACTTGGACATTTGTGAATGAAACATCTTTTTCTGTTTGCAACTAGGAGACATCAAACAAAATCAACCACATGAGCCGCATTCGAGCCCTCAGATGCCTGCTTCAGCTGGTGGACATGCCAACCATTGAGAGACTGTCTGGCAAGAAAGAAGAAGAAATTAAGTAAGTTTTATTGTCTCATTACAAATTTCATGTTAAATTTTTCATAGATGTTCACACAGCAGAAAATATGTGAATACAGCAGACAACTAGTGGTAAGATTAATATTGTATGGCAAAACATGCCCCTGTCCATGTGTCACTGTCATCACTTTTATTGAAAAATCAACTTTTAAATTTGATGTTATTCTTTCCCAGAGGTTACCTGCACACCTTGCTGTACCTGGTAGAGCTGGAGAAACTCCATGTACCACACACAAGAGAGTCATTTGAAAGCTGCAACAAGGAAGGCCTTGTACGCGGACTGTGGAGAAATCACAGCCATGAAAAGAAGGTGGGACTTCAGTAGACGTATGCTCTTCTACAATCCAACATTGTATTCAAACTTGTACCTTGAAAAGCTGAATTCCATGGAATATTTCCAGTGTATTTAAGGTGTTTGCATTGAAAGATATGGAGCTGAAAGGCCTCCGCAATTATCTTGAAATATGGACATTTGAGTGTTGTATTTATGTATCTCCACCCTCCCTTATATAGCTGTGCATCTTCAGCACTTGCATTTTCTATCTTTGAAGATATATCATCTGGTGTAATGGTTGGTAAGTTGTATGCAAGTGTGTCAAGTCCCCCACCTTTTCATTAAAATTGATTAATAGAAATTATGCAAAATTTCTTCTAAAGACTAAACCATGCATACAGGCTCAGCGTAACACTTATTCCCAACTATTTCAGACATGCTCTTCATGTACGCATGCAAACACACTATTTTTTACTGTGAATTATTTTTTAATTTTTGTAGGCTGTCCGTTTAATTGTTGACTTGTGCCTCGACTTTGAAATATTTGAAGTTCAACTGTGGAATAGTGTTTTGCAACAATTGCTTGCCTTTGGAATGGTAAGTCCATTGCAGTATGGTGACACCAGTCTACAAATTATTGTTTTAAGCTGTTTTATTATTATTATTATTATTTTTTTCATGTTTATAAGATTTATTTCCTAAGATCAACTCCAAACACTTTACCATGTAAGAAGCACTTTTAAATAAGTTTTACTGACAGAACTTTTTATTTACAGTACTTTGGGTTTCAATGTAGAGGTATTTGTGACAATTAAATCTAAGACATATTATTCTTAATAAACAAGATCAGGAGTCATTATAATTTTCACCTGGTCTTGTATCTGTTCAATCCTGGATCTATCACACCTTTCTGGAAATTATTCCATCTTAGCTATGAGAATATTATGTGGCACTTCACAATTAACAGCCAAGCCTTAATCTTACCAGCACTAAGTAGCACCATTTGGCTGGTACATCCAGCTAGCTGAATATAAGATAAAAGACCTGTTCTATTTTTTCCCTTTCACAAAATTTATGCCATTTTCCTTCACTCTTTGTAAGAATAATGATTATAAGGAAATGCATTTTGATTTCAGATGGAGTACCTGTGCCATGTGCTGGTGTGTCTGTCAGGGGTGCCAGAGCTGTGGCAAGTCAGCTGCATTCAGAAGATGTGGAAAAGTGTCCTCTTTGCTCCTTTAAGTTCAGGTAATATAGTTACCAAGGTAGATGATGCTTGGCTTAAAGTCACAGTTTTTGACTGAACTAGGAAAAGTTCATTTTGGCTAAAATTGAAGAATAAAAAGTTGAAAAAGTTTATATTTGATTAGTTTGAAATGTTAATGTGTAATTTTAGTTTAAATTAAGTTTCCTGTATCAGAATTGTATGCATCTTTATGTGTAAATGTTATTATTATTACAGTTGGCTTAATGCTTTTGAACATTATTTCCAGCTGTTCCACCACTCTCATATTCTCAACAAGAAGAATGTGCCCAGTCCCTGATTCTTTTGCACAGGTAAGTAGTCAGATAATTTTTACAGATAAAATTAATTTTAGCTTATTCATTTGAAATCTGGCTAAATTAACAGCAATAAAAAAAGAGGAAATGGGACACATTGATCGATGTGACATCTGGTCAAGTTTGTATAGTGCTTTTGTTTTTATATGAGTTTGTGTATAAGTTTGAACAGCAGATTTTCACTTTTCTATGTTGTAACATTTCAAGAGGTGTACTCAATTTTGAGTCAATTTCTAAGTTGTCTATATTCATACTGTATTTGATCAGATGTCCAGTGCTCTTGGACATGGACTTGCAGGGCCTGTGTAAGCAGTATGTTAGGTTAGAGATGCAGGCCTGTGCACTGGCTTGCCTGCTTATGATACCTGCAGCCAAGAGCAGACAGGAGCTGATTGAGGTGAGTGCTGTGTGTATGTGCGCGCGCGCGCGTGTGTGAGAGAGAGAGAGGGAGGGAGGGGGGTGATCATAGGGGGAACTCTCTGTGCATGTGAGTACATGTGGGTGGGTATATCAATTCCATGGTTTAAAATGTGTTAAATTTCGGTAAATAAGTTTTTTAATGTATAATATCCATGTAAGATATCGTTGAAGCCATGTTTTTGATAATATAAGAATCTAAAGTTCAGGACACTAGTATATTCATACATACTCATAATGTTCATTTCATGTGGAGGACTTATATGAAAATGCTTTGTTTCTAGAACTTACTGGGTTCAGGCTGTGCACAGGGTATTCTTAGTCAGCTATCAGAATTTACAGAGAGGAAAATCAACATACCACTGCATAAACAGGTTAGGTCTTTCTTCTCATTTAATATTTTCAGTTTTTTGTTTTAAGATCTTTAGTTTATTTTAACTTCAAAATTAAAATCTGCAGACATGTCAGTTGATCACAGAACAATAAAATTTTAGTTCATATTTAAATTTTGTGCCGATTGTATTGTTTATTTTATTTTTGTATCAGTTTTGCTGCAGTTTAATTATTTTGGATTGCTGAGTGACATGCCATTGTCTTTAAAGGTTTTTGTCTAAAGGGAATCTAAGCTCTTTCCTTCCTCTAAGGATTATGGATATTGTCCTTTTTTTTCAAGTATCATCCATTTGGATTAGGTTTAATGTATTTAGTAAGTTTCTTCAAAATATTTTTCATAAATGCAGGTGAAAAAAAAATGTGTTTAGTATAACATTTTGCCACTTCTGTTCCAGATTGAACAATCTGCATTATTGTGGCAAAGCAAAACAACAGACAAGGCTGGTTAAAGTGGGAATAAGTTCAGTTTGATGGAAGGAAAAGCCTGTGGGGGCAGTCACAGTTCTGTCTTCCATTTCTTAATTTTTGGATACTTTTGCCTCTGGACAATGGACTGGGACAATGAATGCAGACTATGCACACCACCGTATACTAATACTTATAAAATTAATTATTCTAAAAAAGGAATAGATGGATACAATACTTTTAGTATTTGCCTTTGGTCACATGGAGATTGACTTATTGTATTATATTTTGATCATTTGTTTGGCCAATAGTCATGAATAGATGAAGCAAAAAAAAAAAAAAACTTTATTCAGCTTATATATATTTTGCATATATCATATCATATCATCTGTTGCATAATTTCTTTTATTTATCATTTCATTATCACAAAGAAATATTCCAGTATTAAAATGACTTTTAAAAATACAATGAAAGTGCAAATTTTATTTTCTCAACTCTGATATACTAATATCAGATTTACAACTAGTTTAATTAGTACATATGAAAATATAACTATTATAATAATGTTTTCTTTAAAATGTGGGTTAAAATATCAAAAATATTTTCTGAATTGCTTTTCAAAAGAGTAATTGTAATATTTTTTGGTTTTCACTTCAAATAAAGTGTACAAAATACTGATGCCCTTGTAAAAATTTTAACCTAAATAACTTTCAGAGCACAAATATCAACATGGGCAATACTAAAAGAGTTATAATAAAAACCTGAAAAAATACACCTCTCAAAAAAAAATTTGTTTTAAAAAAATGGATCAGTATAAACATCATACAAAGACTTAAAAAGATGTGGATGATATAATGTACTGTATAGTAATTATAACTAGATGCAGATTTGACAAAAAAAAAAGGTATTGCAGGCTCTCAAAGGCCTGTCAAAATTTAGGTATTGCCAGCCCTGACAATATTTTACAGGCACAAATAACTTTTCAAGACATAATCCACGTGCACACCAGTATTTTACTGGTTTTCCTAACACAGTTAAACAACTATTGTGATTTAAAAAAATTATGTGCACATCAGTGATATATAAGCAATAACTGGCCCAATTCATGTTTTAATTTTTATGTACATTGCTGGCCTGACTTCACTGTTGCTTTCAAAAGTTAAACAGTTCAAGTAGAAATAATATACTCAAATCTCCATGGAGTTTTCACTATGGCATAAAGTCACTTAAAATATGACAATCTCTTTGTCACTACTACAGAAAGTATGGCATACTCTACAGAACTTTGTAGCAAACACTTGGAAGTCAGATTCAGCTTGCACCAGGCCTCTAAAACGGTAACAAATTATTCTATAAGTGAAAAAAAATATTCAAACTGAAATTTATTGTCAGTTATCTGCAGGAAAAGGCAATCTCACAAAACCACAGAAAAATTAAATGACGGATCTCCAATAAGATGCCCCCCCCTTCCTGTACAGCTTCACAGTTAAAAATTGAGGCACTGCATAAATTTTCTTGTATCTAAAATCTAAGCTCCACTCTTAATAAAACTACTTAATAAAACAAAATTTGTAAAATTTCAAATAAATAGAGACACCTCATCTTTAATAACATAGATAAAAATAATATCACATAACCATACAAGTTGAACTTGTAATTCTCCCTGAGTTTTCATATTCAAATTTTGTTGCATCGTCTTTTCTTTTGGTGGGTGAAGTATTTACATTGCTGTTACTAGAACCATATTGCATAGATTGTCTGGACACAGGAGGAAGAGGTTCAATCTCTGGCATTGTTAATGTGTACCTCCTCCCACGCTCATGAATACTCTTTCTCCTTGAACTTCCTGGTAAACTTGCCCTATGACTTTTAGACATGTCGACCATTGCTTCAGAGCTATGACTGTGAACAAGGGTTCCCTTCCTTTTCTGTTCTGTTCTACCAGGAAAAGTCTGACTGAGATTTTCTTGATCATTACAAGAGCTTCCAGAAGAGCTTGTTCTGCCATCTTGGAAACTCAACGATCTCAAAACTGTGAGGTCTTGACTGGCTTGTATTGCTGATAAACGCCTTGTCTGGACGACAGGAGCGTTCTTCCTGTTGACTTCATCCAAAGTGAATGATAAGTGTGACTCTAATGCTTTCACTCTCTGACTTTTCTTTTCTATTTCCCTGTTCAGATTACAAATCTCCTTTCTAAGTTCACTGACTTGGTTGTCTTTTTTAGACAGAGCATCTTTTAACTCCTCTATTTCAGCTCGGCATCTTTTCAAAGCAAGCTCTGTGGTTGTCTGCTTATCAAGCAAACTTTTCTGAAGAAAGTTCCTGAAATTATACAAGGTTTGAAATGTTATATAAAAAAACACTGCAGTAACATGCTATAATCTATACAAAAAAAGCAAAATAATAACTATTTCTAAGATTAAAAAAGGCTTTAAAAGCTTAAGCAAAAACATTGCAGGCAAAAGCAAAAATTATTGAGAAATACTTATGCAAAATATTTATAACAGAACGTATTACATATGCATTTAAGAAATTTTTCAAACTTAAAACCAATATTTTATAAACAGTATTGGTGAAGCTTAGATTTTGACATTTTGCATGGTAAACTGAAGATTGGATTGAAAGGTTAGGTTGATGAAAACAAGCATGAACACTGTTCAACACAGCAAGCAGGTAATATTCAAAAAGACTGTTCACAAGATTTTTCTCACATACAATCTTATTTTTATTACTTTACTTTTACTACTGAAATTGCTATAAACCCTGCATGAAAAATTAATGAAAGTGAAAATTGCAAAGAGTTTTTCAGAAGTGCAGCATAAACTGTGAGAGTGGGTTTGGTCACGTTCTGGATAGTTGATGAATACCCAGGTAATTGTTTTTACTTCTAATGAGAAATCTCATGAACTTTCCTTATTAGCTTCTGTCACACTCACTTTGTCCATGCCAGCCAGTAAGGCAACTAAAGTTTCAAAGTACTGATTATGATTCTCCCACACCAAGCATGCTCTTTGCTATAACCAGGGATGAGATTTTTCCAACTATTGGGAGATTTCCCACTTTTTGGGAGCCAAAAATATCATTTTGAGATCGATGCAGATCTGCAATAAAAATTATGGTGCGGGAGGTCCGGATCCCATGCTACATTTTCTGACTTTTACACTAAATGGCAGTCTCATCCCTGTATAAGTCCCAAAGAAAGCATGTGTTAGACTGGGTTCCCATAAACCTATCATACTAGCAGGATCGATCTAACTCTTAGGGGATTCTCACTAAATTGCATTCAGTTAAAGCGGCTTAAATGTCTGTAAGGCCCACTGAGGGGGGGGGTAATGAACTTTCATGCACGCTTAAACTAAATGCAATTTAGCAAGAAACCCCTTGGAGATAGACCGATTCTGCTAGTATGATAGGGTATGGGAATGGCCCCTTAGGCAGAGGACAGTCACCTTGAGTGCTCTGATACTAAAGGTGAGATACCATTAAGGCATCCCCACTGCAGACAATATCACAGTAGATCAGCTGTATGGTGTTATGTGTATACATCCCCCCACACCATCAATTTACTACACTGACTGATCACTGCACCAATAGCTCCCCACACAGTGATATATTGTTTGATAGGACACATAAAATTACATTTCCTTAAATCCAGATTAAAAAAATCTCATAAGATAAAATAATCTCAGTCAGCCAATCAATAACATGATTTTCTACTATATCCAAATAAAAATATTTAAGAAGTATTCACCAATTAAGCAATCTTTCAGTGTGGGGATCTACAAGTATGTACAGTGAAGGAAAAAAGGGTCTATCAGCATAAAGCCAGCTGCACAACTGTAGGGCACTGATAATATAATTATGTTCGACTGATAGCCTATGTCACAAGGTGGGTCCTAGGTCACAACAAACAGATCTGGATTGTATTAATAAAACATGATTTTACAATGAAGTAAAATCTAATATCAGGGCAATGCTCCCCAGATCTCTCCCCCTCACTCCTCCCCCACCCCCAACAATTTGTCTGGGACAATTGTCCTAGAATACTACAAACCATCCAAACCTTTCAAAAGATGGGTGACAATTATTTATTTTAAGTTTTATATTATAAGTAAAACTGGGTCTTTTAATTCTCTATTAATACAATCCTTAAGTGACTTGCATACTTCATATTTGTGCTCTACCTGTTGTTTGAACTAATGAAAATAAAAGTAAATAATAAGTTCAACATTGTTACTTTTGGTCTGAGTGCTTTAGTTTGTGCTGATTAATTGTATACTGTGTGAGGAAAAAAACAAAGAATTGAAAAACAGTGAAAATAGATACCATTTAAACCAGACACTGATCAGTTACATGCCTTTTACCATTTGATTACATCTTGTTGCAATGAAAATATTTTAAAAAGGTTATTATAAATGAAATGGTCAAAAACTATCCAATATAACTAATAGATTAGCAAAGTCAATGTTAACCAAAAAAGAAAACCATTTAAAAGAAGAGCCATTCCTCATTTCTTTTCCCCACCAATAATAATTTCCCACTTGCAAAACCTTTTCATTTCATCATGTCTCAACACAAAAAAATCAGACAAGGCTGACACAATTACAGACCAAACCTGTGAGCCAGAGAAAACAGTGAGTGCAGTTTTAAAAATCAATACAAGTGCAAGGGAGACAAAGAAGTGTTTCAAAATAATTTCATTTAGTCCAGTTCTACCAAAAAATATATTTTTCCAGCATATTACAATACAAGATCTGCCAGTAAATGTTAAGTTAGACAAATTTCATAATTGATTGTTAAGGAGTAAACAATGCAAAAACAACTGCTGAAGAGATGATTAATGCAACTTGTGATTATGACATGGACAGACAGCTAATCAGAACATTTATAGACACTATATAAAAACCAAGTGCACCTCCTTCCTGAACTGTCTCGAATTAAATTTGATAGGAATGCAAGTGGTAAAAATTACAGAGGGCAAAAGATGTTAAAGATGTGCATTTAATATAGCACTGTGGAATGGCCAACAAACAATATTAAAAGACTTGATTTTCAATACAAATCACAGTGACACATGTACACACCAGTTAATCTTGGCTCTTTCTTGCTTTATTTCATCCTCAGTGCCTCCCTTGATTAACAATTCTTCTTTTTCTTTATCTAAGTCAGACCGTAGGGAGGCCAGCTCCTACAAAAGAGAAATATAACAATATGCCCAAATGGAAATATTTTCTCACTTTATTCTATGCATTTATTATTTCATCTTGCAGCAAGGTAAACCATAAATGAGCAGAGTCATTAAAGGCCATTTTCTCTTAACTCAGAGCAATTAACCATGCATTCATAATCTAAGTGTAAATCTTCAACCTTTACATTGCAATTTTGAATTAAGTTTCACGGGAAGCTAGAATTATTCATTGTTATCAAATGAAATATAAGTTTCGATGCATTTTCTTTGGCATTATAAACACTTGAGTATAGAAGAATCACAGCAGGTCAGCATCACTTCATTGACTCCTTGGAACCTAAACCTGTGCCAGTTGTACTACATGTAAGTACTGTTTTAACTCTGCACAACATGTATATATAAGCGCTAGCCATGACATATGGAGCCAGTCGCCTTTCTACTGTCTAGCCCTCAAACACTGGTAATCACATACAGTGCCCAGTGATGAGAAAATATAATCACACATTTCAAAACAGATAATATGGTATAGCTAGAGTCCATCTGGACAGTTAAAGTGACTTGAAACATTTTTTTTTAATAATAAGAACTTCATATTTTTAACATTACCGTGTCTAGATCTTTGAGTTCACTTTCTCTTTTATTGCAGAGTTCCATTCTTCTATCCAGATAGCCTTCAATTTCTTCAACCTTACAAAACAAAACAAAATGGTCTTGCTAAACAGGAACATGGACAAATCAACTAGAGCTGTTCTGAAATTTTTCTGGCATTCTTTTCAAAATGCTTAATAAATAAAAAATTCAGAACAGGTAAATGTAACAGTTACTTATCAATATTAATTATAAAATTCAACAGCATTTTGTTTTACAAGAAATAGTCTACAAGACTGGCCGAACTCTGCAGGGATTCCTACTGAGTGCAATTAGCTTTTCAGATATTCGGCTTTTGTAGAATAGAGAAAAGCTGGTTATTTTAATTCAATTTAGTTATTTTAAAAGTACACGAGAAACAAGAAGAAGCATGTCATTCAGTAAGCTGATTGCACTTAGCGAGAGTCCCATTAGAGTTGGGTCGATCTCCGTAGTCTGATGATGTGTCTGTGGAATGGGGTCTAATTGTTAAGAGTGTTAATACTTAAGTTACAAAAAATTTTACATGAATGCTAAGTTTTAATTAAAAAAGGATTTACAAATAACCTCTTTTTCATAATCAATAAGATTCTTTTGTCTTTGAGCAATTTCATCTTCCTTTTCCAACAATTTCTGTTCCATAGCAAGAACTTCCTTCTGTCGCTCCACCAGATCATGGTTTGCTTCAATATCCTTAATTTCACTTTCAATCTGTTCTTTCTTCTGGTTCCTTTTAAATAAATGTTATGTAACAGATTAAAATGTTGTATTCCCTGTCTTTTAACTGCGACTGAATTTGAGAAATAAGGCTTGTAATAATTTTTTCCAGCTTTAAATTTATTTCAACTGTTCCATTTTCATCCTAAGTTTAAAATGCTGACTAGACAAGATGTAAACAGACAAACCAAAGCAACAAAATCAGACCTTCTTGTACTAAGTATAAATTAAAGCAAAAGGAGGTATATTTTGGTACAAAACATTCCATAAAATAAGAGAATTGTTTTGAAACCATGGTTTTCTTTTAAAACTAATGAAGTCAAAATATCTCAAAATGGAATGTTTAAATTAAATAATGGTATCAATTATAATATGTGTGATGTAAAAAAAATCACAAAATTCACTTCAAAACAGAATTCAACTGACAAAAAATAAATGAAATATCTTAAATAAAACTAAATGTAATGGATGTTTGTTTTTTAATATATCCAAATTATGCTAAAACGTAAAAGGAAAGGAAAAGTGGTTAAATTTGTGGATGTGTGGTTCTTACTTTTTTGCCTGGAGCTGCTGGTCAAGCTCATCTAACTCTAATGCTGCCAGCTGTTTCTGATCCTCCACATTCTGCTTAAGCTGAGATATCTGAAATAAGAAATACAAAAAAATGACTTCTTTATAAAGGTTAAAGAGCAGGTATGTTGGTTTAAGTGTTTAAGTCTGAGTCATAAACCAGATTTTGGTTTGTCGGTTTCTTACTCATACATGCACACCTGTGGCCTCTTTTAAAGTAAGAATGCTTTAGAAAAAAATGTCAGGTTGATGCTGTTTGTTAACCATGACTGCATGATGCATACTAACTACTGAATTTTAATTCACTGGTAAACAACTCTCTCTCTCTCTCTCTCTCTCTCTCTCTCTCTCTCTCTCTCTCTCTCCACAATCTATGAAAACAAAAATTAATTATATATATAATAACCTCAAAATATATATATATACCTCTTCATTACACTGTTTTCTGAAAGACTCTAGTTGAAGGTTCAGCTCTTTCATTTGCTGCCTGAACAACCTGCGACACTCTTCCAGCTCCTCTTCCTCATGATACAGCTGAAATTGAAATAGTTAATATATCATTTGACATAGAACTTTCATAAACTTGACTTTCAAAACTTTAGCGTTTTCAAACAATGGGAAATTACTTCATATTTCATAAAAATTCTCTTGACTTAAAAGTTTCAATTCTGTATTTTATCATAACACCTAGGAACCAGATACACAAAAAAATTGACTTAACAAAATGTACATGTTAGTTTTAACTTTAAAAAAAAAAAGCTCATGCAATTTCATGAAACTATTACCTGTGAATGTTGTTTTTCTACTCCATTTGCTGTATTTTCTTCTTCCTTGGACAGGCTTTCATTTTGTTCACCGTCCATTTTCAGTTGATGAGATTCAAACTCGAAGGTTTGGTTATTCTCCAGGCAAAATTGAACATGCTTGTTGCCTGCAGTCTAGTAAAAAGAATCATTGAAATATTCAATGAACTACATGACAGTCAACAATTAAAAACATGAACTCTCTGTTGAAAATAACTTCAATAATCACCTGATCATCTATCTTTGTTATGCAGTGAACATCTCAATGTGATCCATGAATTCAACTGGCAAGAGGTCAGAGAGACCACACAAATACATCACAACCCTTCACAACCAGACTATCACTTATGGCACTGATATGTGTTCAGCCCACTTATATCAATACTCAAAGTTTACTGCTGTCATTTACGGGGTGTTGACTTTCTTTGATAGCAATACTTGAAGGTACCCTGCTCAAAGCTGTTAAACAAATATTCTTCTTTTGTTAAAATTCAAATGTACTACGATATGGTTCAGTGTTGAAGTTACTTCAATGACATCAGCTGGAAAGGCTATTGAAAAGAAGTGAATTAGCCTGTCAGATACAGAGTAAAACATGCATTATTTTAAATGTTTGAATGGCAAGTTTGTATTTTGCTTAGTGACATCAGTGTATTTTGAAGAGTGATAAATACACACACACATTTTCTTGTAACTTAACAAATCCTATCATTAGAAATACCTTATTTAGCTAAGATATAAAAGAAATCATTCCAATGAAATAAACACAAATTTTTTTGCAGTCTATCATTTTAATGTTTATTGAGTAATTCTCACATAATGTGGCTACATGTACATGTTATTGAAGCCTAAATAATAAAAATGTATTTTTTATTATTTAAGTTAAATTCTCATTCCTACATTTTCAAAAATAGCAAATCAAAGCCAAGGACAGTAGCTCAATTGTTTTTATTCAGATCTCAGCTCATTTGACCTATACACCAAATCAAATTTTTCTTGTGAAAAAAAAAATCATTGCTCAACCCATTTCCGCCTTTGGATTTAATATTTTGTGCCATTTTTAACCAAGTTTTAAATATGAATCTTTATATATATATATATATATAAAGTCCTTGTGGCATTTCAAAGGGAAATACTGACATCAGGAACTTTTATTTTAGGGATTAATTTTTTTAAATTTCTTTTTATTCTTTCCTTTTTTCTCTCTTTATCTATTTTATTATTTAGGTCTGCATTGGGAAACATTTTTAAACATGTACAGTATACCTTTTATATACATGTCCCCTAAAACTTTGCTGTATGCCTACTTGCGCATTTCTTCAGACTTTATATGAATTATTATCACTTTTTTCAAGAGCAGCTTTCCCTTTTTTCCTTTTATTTTTGGTTAGGTAGATAATTTTTCAATCATTTACTTTTTTCCTTATTGACTCAATGCTGATTAATTGTCATTTACTTCACTAATTTTTGTCCAAGTTTAGCTTATATTAACTGCACACCTCAGGCATGGGCTAAGTAACACCTGCACCTTCACTTCTAAAAAAAAAGAACTTAATAGTTGTTTTGAAGAAACTATTATAGTAACTGAGATAAGTGTTATATCACAGCTGCTGAAATTCTTTACTGGATACATACTTGTTTGCACTATCTCAAACCAGATAGTATAATATTTAAAAATAAATTCATTTGGTTAAATTTTATTGTATTGTCACTGACATGTGCAACTAAGTCTTCACACAAATCTTTCTGTTTTTGTTATTTTCATTAATTTTAATAAGAAAATAAAATACAGAATCATTTTGAAATAAAATACAAAACATTTATATTATTAAGCACTAGAATTTTTACATAAATAATGAACTTTGAGTAAGAATACATGGCATAAACATTTGTCTATAAGATTTTAATAAGAAATTCACTATCAGACAAAAACTTTATATGAAGCTTGCTTAAACTTTTAGGAATGATTTGATTCAACTGTTAATGAGCTGCAAGATATGTTTTTTGTTTTTGTTTTTTTTTTTTTTGTTTTTGTTTTTTTTTGCTTTGATTAGAGGGCTTAAAGATATGCATCATACGGTCAGATCAGGAAAATCCTCAACAAAATGCTTCAATCTTTTATAACATATTCTGTATCTTACTTCTTGCCAAAAAGGGAACTACTCATTGTTTTTTATTCTACTGCTAAAAATGTGTAACCACATAACAATCAACCACTTTTATGTTTGATAACAAAGTATGATAAGATACCAGCTGTACAATGGAATCTATATACCAGTACACTAATTAGTATGCAGGCTTGTAGGCAGAAAGGTGGATGGGGGGGGGGGTTCTAACCAACCATTCTTTTAGCTGGGAAAAGGTCTGCTCAAACTCAAATTATGATCTAGGATAAACTAGAATTCATAATAAACAAAACATGCAGGTTTTGTGTTAAAAAGAACCTCCTCTTTGAAAATACTGGCTACAAGCCTTCATTGTCTACACAAGTAACAACCCATAGATAAACAGTCATATGCCTAAGAAACATGTTTTGCATTTCTGATAACAAACTTGTCTGGGCTTTCGTCTCTTGCATTCTTATGATTACCATTAATTCTATCATGTAATATTTTTCACTAACTGTTCAAGGGTCTGTAGATGCCTACACAATAATGCAAAGCATGCAAATGATAGAGGGTTTGGTGAAGCTAACTATAGCAGTCAGTTTATTTAATTAATATTAATAATTTAATGAGCACTAAAATGTTTCAGTACATTTTGCAGGCCCTCTAAACTACTTGTGTTATACATACATGTAATATATATCAAGACTTATTATCCCACTTATGTGATATCAGGCTTTCAAACACAAATGTAATTATATGTTTCATAATTACCTTATATACATAATCTACAGTGACAAGTGGAAGTATTTCTTATAAATGTGGGAATAAGTAAACTATAAGGAAAGAAATAATAATTAAAATAATAATACTAATAATAGTAATGATGATAATAATAAGATAAAAATACCTATATTACACAATGACAATTACATTGTTCTATATTGTGGTAGACTTGCTCATTATTATTGACAGGCTAGTCTTTTTTTAAACGTTTCTTGGATGAAGTGAGACACGGTTTTTAGACAGTGTTCACTTTGAGGATTGAGAAGCCAGACAAGTTTTTCTACATCAGATGACAATTGAGGCGGTATCATTTTTATCATTTTTTCTCTTTCATTCACATGCTCATTACATTTTATTTATTTATTTAACAGAACCCAATATATATAGGCAGATGGAAAGTTCACTTGGTAGATGAGAGGTTAGGAGGAATGTGTACCTTAAAGAGAATACTGTATTTGAATAATGTGGTTGTAAATTTAAAAAACAATGTAAAAAGGTGTTTTTAAACCTGTAAGCTTGAACTCACTAAGAACTCATAATAAACAAGACCAAACTGGAAAAATACAAATAATAGTTTTCATTAAGAGTGCACCGTGAATAACGCAATGTTATCTATAAACAGAACAACAAATAATTTTGAAATTGTCCGTGAATACAGCAAATGCATTTCCGATGCAGCCTTTCGATAAATAGAGGCGCAGATCAATGTGTAACGGTGCATGTGTTAAAATGTAACGCTATCCAACTTATTTTCACAGCCAATTAATCCTCACCTTTGCTTCACAGCTGTCATCGTTTTGTACACAAGCACATCCTTCAGAAGGTTCCATATCATAACACATGTGCAACAGACGTAACAACCGTCAGTTGCAACCCCATAACAGCCCCGTTGTCTCCTACATCCCTGGGGAAATCGACATGTTTACATCGGAAGTCACAGCTGTCATGGTGTTAAAAACGGGATTATGCTGCATCGATGCAACTTTTATTTAATGTAGGCATCGAATTGGTCATTAATGTTATTAGATGGATCTATTGAAGACAAATCATTACCTAATGCTCTTTTTAGTATTGTTTTAGAAATCTGTATGGATTTTCAAAAGACGGAAATGCTTTAAATGGAAAATATTTGTTTTATAGTTTAGCTCTTCTTGCCAAAATGGAATTGTGGGAAGGACACTTGTTTTCAAAATGGCAGACTGAGATTTGACGATGGACCACATACAACGACAGGTAATATCACCTTATTTATAGATCTGAATAATATGATTTCGGTAGATAATTGCCGATAAGACTAATGCACATAAATGCTGGCTAGTTACCAATGATAACTGTGTTTCCCTGATTTTTAAACCTTATGAAATTGACCAGCAAAGTTCGCCTCGTATGCTACTATTGAATTATATGAATTTGCCATTTGCATTAATTTTTAATGAATGTTATGTGTTCTTTCAAGTGACGAGGTGTTTTCCTTGTTTTTTTTTTATAGTTATGAACTTGTTTGAAAATTTGGATTTTTTGGTTATTATTGTTTTTAATTTAATGTTCGACGAGTGTGTCAGGAATCCTGACACACTCGTCGAACATTAAATTAAAAACAATAATAACCAACTGGAAGATATTAAAAAAAAAAAAAGAAATTTATTTAAAATGCTGCCCCTATTTCATAATCTCATTCTGTTTTACTTGCAAGACAGACATTTTGGACTACTGGGCAGTATTTATTTTTTTTTTTAGGTTATAACTATATTAGTTCAACTCAGATGACTATCATTATTTTTTCTTGAGTGCTTTATTCAGTTGAAAAGCATACATGTTTCACAAGCAATAAATAAATAAAATATACAAGGGGTAAAAATGAAAACTATTTTAGGCTCAATATCAACAGCACCTGTAGCGTAATGTACATTTCTTAAATAGTAGGATAGATTGAAATTATCAGATGGCAGTCTTTGTATTCTTTTTTTTTCTTTATTTTTTGCAGCATTCTTGATTAGCCTGTGAAAAGAAAAAATGATTGTTGTTTTTGTGTTGATTTTCTAAAAATTCACTTGTTTTAGGGTGTTTTTTATCCACAGATTTCATAGCAAACATATTGTAAACATTTTCAATAAGATGAGTTAGGTCTAAAGCAAAACTTTCCTTAGTATATATATTCCAAATACATAAAAAGATTAATTACTAGGTTAATCTAATTCTAGTCCATTGGGAAGTGAGAAAAACAAGCTAATGTACTCACAGAAGGTTGCAGAACTTGTCAGTTTTCTAATTTGACTTATGAATATTGAAAGATGTTTATTTTGTACATGAAATCAAAGAGTTTGTACCACAGTGCTAGCAGTGCTGTCTTTTTGAGAAGCTGACAAAGTTTTGGTCAAGTGAATTCTTGTAACATTATGGATGAGTTTGTAAAATGTTATAACTTTTCAGCTTTCAACAGGTGCTATACCTGGCAAAGGTGATCAGTTAGGAAAAGTTGTAGAGTTTTGGTTTAAACAGTACAAAGAATAAAATATTTAGAAGTGTGGATTAAAAACAGTCTCTGATGTTACCCACAGCCAGTTAAAAAGTTTGTTTTGACCAGTAGATTTTTCAGAATGTGTGAATGTAGTGGTAAATATGGCTTTTAGATTCTTTCTATACGGTTTCAAAAAAGCTCTTGCTTTGATTCAAGTTTTCTTCTGAAATGTTACATGATGATTAAAAAAAAAAGATTTGACAAAATCAAGGTCTTTTTATTCCTAGTATTAATGCAATAGGGGAAAATGTCCAGTGAATTCTGATTTGGACCAGTAGATTTTTGGAAACTTGTGGTTAGAATGGCCAGAAAGCTGAAAAGCTTATGGCACAGACTGAGAAGGTAGATGTTCAGGTTCTGATAGGCTTCATTGTTATTTAAGATTTAAGAAATGGTTCCAGGTTGAATCATGCCATATGAATAAAAATTTTCTCACTCAATTATCTTCTTAACCATCATTATTTTGTCACTATTTACAGTGGATAGCAGCTATTTTTTACCTCCCAAGTACATTTATAATTTGTAAATTAAATCTACAGGTACGTAATGAAAGCAATATATTATATTAGCTTATTTTCTTCCTCAACATAATCAGTCTACATTGGCTAATTTACAGTGCGAGGTCCTCTTTTACAGAAATAACAATAATCTGACTGTATTATCAGCTCCTATACTACAACATATATATTTGAAATACGCAGTGCTGGCAATGTGACCATTTGATTTAAAATCTCATTAAATTGTAATCAGCAGCTGCCTTAATTTGCGGTGTAACCTTATTTTTCTAGATAAATTATTCATGGGAAATTCATTGGGACTTGGCTAAGCTAAAGTGTCTTTCCTAATATGAATCCACCTATAAAATGCTTCTATTTATTAGTACCACCAGCGTGTACGCTGGCNTTCAGGCCTTTAAATCTGCAAAATTGGCAAAGAAATGCCCATGATTGCTATTGAACTTGAATAGAAATTCATAAACTATGATATTGAAATTGACCTTTGACCTACTTTTTCACCATGAACTGAGCTTTGCATATTTTCTTGTTTATTCTGATTTTTAATTTGATCCTTGTTTATTTCCAACCTCAGAGCCATTGGCATGCAGAGCATTGTTGTTGAATAGCTTTGATTGGATTATCATTAGGGGTATTGGATTACTAGGATACTTAGAATTAAAAGTTTTCTTTGATTGATTTTTGTTATCATTCCATAGGAAACTTCCTGCTTACATCTCTAGTTTCAATTTTTCCTTGGATAAACCATTTCCTAGCTTTTAAATGGAAACAAGATATAATTTATTTTTAGCAGCTTTGCAGTTGTCCATGCTTAATCATTAGTGCCTAGTTGCTAGAGTGTAAATTGCTTGGTGGAAAGGTATCCCCGTGTTTTCATTATGGCCATGCAGCTTCTTGGCCTGTATATTAACCATAAAAATCTCCCTTTGGTATATGTAATAGAGCGACTCTATAGATCATCAATACAGGGTTATATGGTATTTGCTATAAGCCCAATCTGTGGATTGTTTCAGTCTGCTCAAAGTGGACTATTAGGGTTACAGTGGAGGTATTTTCTACCATTTTCTAGCCAACAGTCTGTTATCTTGCCTGATTGTGGTGGCTTTGGCTGATATGAAAACTGAGCCCAACTTGAACTATGCTCAGATCCAAATAGGAATCAGTGCCTGTTGTTAATGCATATCAATACATGTGTGAAGATTATATAACAAGGTTTAGTTTTATTTTTATATATCTTACTTTTGAGTCATCAGTGCAAATTGATGTGAGACAGTTATAAGAGGTTGAGAACTAGGGTACATTGGAAGTTGCGCTATACCAGATTTTACACAAGATATTTAAAATGAGGACTGGGGTTGTCAGCTAGGATACTGGTTAAGGTGTAGGCAAGAGTCCAGCTCCATGTGGATGAGAAAAGAAAGATATTTATGAAGATATAGAGGACTCACATCTTCCCCACAGCCATGGCAACTAGGGGCAAACAGAGGGACTATCAGAATCCACATCAAGTGTCTCCAGCTAGTCACTAGCTTTTTTGTTCTTTGTAACATCATGATGAAGGATATTTATGATTTGACATCAACGCTCTTAAAGTGGAGCTGAGGTCACCAGGTGAATGATATGCTGGTTCTGACTGTACTATTTTTCTAAGATCTATGCAGATTCGCATTTGATCTCGCCACGCTGGGGAAACACTCCCCTGAGCAGAAATGTCGCAGACTAGGAGTTGCTGGGTGCACTCAGATCATGTATATTGCACTTGTTGCTACACCAAAATGTAGCCAGAAATCTGTAAGTATTGTGATTGCTGTTGAAGGCACTTGTTGGGGACTTGTGATGCTTGCTCACAGTAGTGGTATGTTGGGTGAAAGAAGCATCTGGATTTTTAATGTAGATTGGTCTGCTCCTTTTTATTTTTATTAGGGCATAAAGTACAAAGGTTAAACCCAATTGTTGTATGTAGACTCATCAACTATATTTAGACTATCTGCCTTTTACAAACATGATTTTACTTTTTAGATACAAATATTGCATCAATCTATTAATATGTTTTAATATTTGATATATTTGCTATTAAATTATTTTATATCCTAAATATCAAATAATTTTTTAACAAAATCAACAAGTAAAATGAGAGATTGCTTTGCAACAGGAATCATAATTGAAGTAATATTTGAATAAGGTTTTGAAAAGGTCTTGGTATTTCTCAAATAAGTAAAAAAAATTAAAAAATACAAACAAAAAAATATTTCATAGGAGCCATGAGCCATAGGAGAAAAAGACTACATTATATTTGTGAAGAATAGTGTGGTATTGAGAAGTATTAGATTTGGGTTGATATGTTAGACAATAGTCATTTGTGAAGATCTTCTTAGCATGCCAAATAGACATAAAAGAACAGGTGGAGACAAATTAGTTTTATCAGGTTACATAAATAACCATTAGCACAAGTGGAAATGATATAAAAAATGTATATTTTAGTTAAACAGTCTCAGTGGAGGTGCTTATTGTATTCAAATTTATCAGAATAAGTATATTTTAAAATGAAAGAAGGGAACAAACATTTTGAGAATTTTTACAGTTTAATATTTGTATTTGATCACAGTTATTTTCCAGTTTTGCAATTAACAATTTTACAGTTGTCTCATTGTGTATTTAAAGTAAGGGTCAAAGAAGTGGTGTAATTGAACACCATATGTAATAGGAATTAATTCAGTTTTGTCTCTGTCTTAATTTTTTAAAGGCATTCCTGTTAGATGATAAAGACAGTGTGCATTTTAAGTTGCCCTTTGCATATTAAACAAGTTTGACTGACTTTATATTCTTACAACTACCAAAGTTAAACCTTTATAGGTTGACCCAGAAAACTGTAAGTTTGTTTTTAATAGGCCGTAATTTTTTGTGCCTGAAGACTTTAACCATGGAAAAATTGTGAATTGCTTTTATAAAGCACCTTTAAATTTAAACAGTAGTAAAGTTGTAAATAATTTACTGGGCCTCATTTTAGTGTAGGCTCATTTTCGAAATAGAATTTTAATGTGGACAATTTAATAAGGTCTTGTAACATAATATGAGGTAACCAGTTGTTTTGAATATTTAATCTGAGTTGCTTTTAGTAATTTTTTTTAAATAATGCATTTATATTAAAATCTGGACGATGGACTACCAGGCAGTAGAACTCAAGTAAAAAGTCTAAAGAATAACTGTACGATAAGCAAGAAGAAGGACAAACAATTTAAATCCTTTTAAATCATGACTATTTCATGGTCTTGTGCAAAGGTCATAAAAAGAATTTATTTGCACTTTTCCATCAGAACTGAGCATATTCCATTGATTCGAACTTTGGGCTGGCAAGTTTTCCAAAACATGTTTTTTACAACACAGAGATGTCACACAGGTGTAGTAGACATATTTTACTATGACATCTTCCAGAGTGTTATACTTCATCTTAAATGGTGCATTTAATCAGGCATGTGGCCCCCATGCAGTTGTCTCCTGGAGTTAACTGAAAACCACTGCTGGAAAGATTAATTGCAAAAAATTATAAAGAGCTGAACATGGGGTTCCAAACTCAAGTTTGCACTTGATAAAATGGAAATAGTGACATCAAAAGCACTTGAAATACAAAAATCTAAATGTAAAATCTTAGGTTTATCTAAATAAAGTTTTACTGGCCTTAATTTACAGCTTTTCATTACAACTATCCATGTGATTATATGATATAATATCTGCTACAGTTGTGTATTTGTTTACAATAAAAACCATAACATATGAAAATATATCGAGAAAGTTTACCCAGAGTTTATCCTGGAAGATGTCTAGAAAATATGACTGATTACTATTTTCACACTGAAAAGATTAGGAATCTATTACAGATGACATATGGAAAATTAACCCTCAGCTTAACCATGGTATTTTTATTGGCAGTTTTTCACAATTCAAGGTATGAATCTATTACAGATTATCTTGAAAGTGTACCTGGACAGCAATCACCAGAGAACAGCAGAAGTCCCCATTACACCCGAAACAACATGTAAAGATGTGATAGAGTGCTGCAAAGAACCTGGAGAGGAGATCTGCCATCTTGCAGAATTATGGAGGGGAATTGGTAAGCATAATTTCAAATTTCAAAAGGACTGGCTGTTTGTTTCATTTTTTTTTCTTGGCTTATTTTATCAAACCAGTAATTGTCTGTAGGTTATAGGTACAGATCTTTATTTTCAGTTATTTATTTATTTAGTCATTTATTTATTTGTGTGTTAAAAAGAAAGAAAATAGAGAAAGTTGATAATTTGCTTTTGAAATTACAAGTATTTATTTGAGTTAATGGGGCTTTTAAACCTGGGTTTTCTTCTTCAAACTTTTTTTAAACTAATCAAAATTATAGATAATAGAAATTGAAGGAAAAAAGCATTTTATTTGGTATGTAAACTTGCATATTAGATACAGTCTACGGTCCAAACCTTTGCTGTATTCTTAAATTGAAATGAGTTTCTTTCTTGATTGGATGCAGAACCTCATGTATAAGTTGTGTCAATATCAAGGTCAACAAAGGAATCTGCACTTCTGTTCTAATAACCATTCAATACTGTGCAGTAAAAACTGCCATATAATATGTATTTCAAGATTGTTTCAGATAAAACCACTCTCCATCTGACTGAAATTTATTATTTGCATACTTTAACATAGCTAAGTTAGTTTGTGTATAAAAGGTGTTTGTTTGCAAGTTTTAATGAAAAAGATTGGACGTCAGATAAAATGCATTGTTCACTTAGAGGTGGTTCTTTCATTGCACATATTTGAAATATATAAGAATGCAACATATCATAACCCTAACTGACTTCATCTTACATGAAGACCAGGATCAAATTGATTTTTATTTCTTGTTTATTTATCCTACAGTTCTTTATATTGTCTTTATAAGAAAAATCTGATGATTAACATTTGATTTAACAGTATTATAATACATATTCAGTTAATTAGAAAGAAAGTGTACTTCAGTTGGAACTTTTAAGTGTCATATCAGAACTGTCAATGCTGAAAAAATATGAACCATTGTGAAGTTGCCCTTTATTTTATTGTTTGCCTTTAGTTTCAATCTGCACTGTACACATTTCAGAGCGCCCTGTGGCAGACCATGAGAAGCCCTTTGAGATACTGCAGCAGTGGGGTATCCACAGGGACGAGGTTCATTTCTATCTCCGCCATGAGCCAGCTGTGCCTCCACACCTACAGGCCAGGCTAGAAAACCTAGGTAAGATGGAGGATATGTGTGTGTGTGCGTGTGCGTGTGCGTGCGTGTGTGAGCATTCATTTACCCATTTTCAGGGAAAGAAAGAGATACTGTTTTTGTTTATTTTTGACTGTGTATTATCAAAGGAGGAAAATGGGAATCCATTTCTGTGAGAGACAATGTGGATTGTGAGAGAGGAAGAGGAGAAAATGGAATTGAAGAGCATTTTATTAATATGAAATTATATTGTGAATTTATACGAAGAAAAACTTAAAAAATACCAAATCACTACCTTGGCATGTTATTTATAAATTATTAAATTAATCAAACATCACCATATAAACATTGAAAAGGTCACATACAATATTTTTGTTCTTTAAATATTATTGGTATTTTTGTGGGACAACGGTCTCAACAAATGCAATGAGCACAGTCTCACCTGCACAAATGACTCTGCGTGATATGCAGTACACAGAGGCATGGCCATATAAACAACCTGGCGGTATCTGATACTAAAGGAGATTTGAAAGTGTTAAATTCCACTTTCAACCAATTGATATTAACAAGATACTTGAAACCAGGAAATTGCTGGTGCCTGTAACTAAATATCTTAAAGACAAAGCAATATCCGGTTGACACAGAATGCTATTTATGATATATATTTGTATTGCAATAACAAATCTGGCCTGGGGGAGAAGTCAAATTGGGCAGATAATTGAAGTGGAATTTTGTATGGGCGACTAACCCAAACAAAAGGATCAATTTTCTGTTATTTGAGACTATTCTTTCTTCTAAAAAACGTGCTTTCATCTCTTCATGCTTTCACATATCTTCTCAGATTAAGGGCAAGCGCATTTCCAATTATTGTAAAATTATAGAACCCACATTTTTTTCAGACTGTTAGGAGGTCCAACTATCCTCATACTTTATACTGTGCCAGGAATGATTACGTCCATAAAAAGTTTTACCGTCCATTTTATGATTGTGGCGCATTAAATCTGACTTATGAATGGAAATGCTCTTGGCACTATTTGCACTGGGGCTGTGTTGAATAATGAAAGGTATCACAGGCATTTTAGTATGCCAGGTAGATTCATGTATATGACTCTACAAGTGCAGATCCATTAAAATGTTTGGGATTTAAAAGTTTTGGGGATTGTTACAAGTTGGGACAGAGGTTATTATTGCCTTAAAGGACTGTCTACTTAAATGTAATCAGCAACTTTATCCAAAGAGCAAGCAAACCGTTATTGGCCAGGTTCTCTGAAACCAAGCACTAATTTAATCTGGTGCCATTTCAATGCTGTGTAGTGGTCCTGCACAAGACCTGCAGTAGATACAGTGTTGCCGTGCCTCCAAGCCAAGCGGGTTTTCATTCGTCTCATTTCATCACAGAGGCAATTGTAAAACACTGTCGCTTCATTCAGTTGTTTGAGGTGTTTAATAGCATTACAGAGTGTGCCTTTATAGTGGTGGACAAAGCTCCCATTCATACCTACACCTCATGCGTATTTGGGGAGTCAAGTCTGTAGTGAAAACAAAATGAAACTACTGAGCAATGGTGAGACACTTATATAGGATTGGGTTGCAGGCTTTTGCCAAAAAAGAAAAAGAGACTGCAAGCAAAAAGAAAAAAATTCGAGGTTTGAGACAGGATTTAAGGTGTAAGGATGCGAAGAAGTGAGTAATTTTGACATGACTTGTATGTTTGTTTTAATTCCAAAAGCATCATCTTATTTTTCATACCTAGTTTATCAACATAGAAAGTCATGTTTAATATATTCCTTGGCTGCATTTTGAAGATGATTTAAATATACTAAATTTAATCAAATGTACTCTAGTTTCCAGGCTAAATTTTAGTTTGTCTTAATTTTATTTTTCCTTTTTATTTTGAAGATTTTTTTCTTTCTTGCAATGATACTTTTAATGTCTTGTTTTGTCAAACAGCTTATTTAAAATGTGTCTGTAATGGCATCTGTGGTTAAGGCATATGACTATCAATCTAATGTATCTTAAGATATATAAAAGATAAATTTACATCTTGCACATTCTTATTTGACAATAACCAGGAAAGCGTGAAGATACATCAGTTTTTAAATGACAACAATTCCATTTTTCTTTTTATTCTTTTTTTTTTTTAACGTGGAAAATGTGCCCATTATTTCAGCTACCCAAGCTGAATATGATTTAAGTCCAACAGGTTGTATAATGACCTGCCACCATTAGATGTACAGCTTATCTTTCATCTGATGTCTGCGCCTAAGGTGTCAGCACACAACTTGAGTATATGCTGAATGTGACAAGCACAGTTTGATCATCATAACAATCTCAGTCATGTAGACTTCAGGCAATTCTACTGCAGCATGATAAGTCTGCAAGATCTTAGGATGCATTCAGTTGAGGAAAGTTAGGTTTGATTGCAGTCTACCTAATTATCCTGTTCGCTGGGTATACTGGTGTGTGTGTGTGTGCGTGTGTGTGTGTGTGTGTGTGTGCGCGCGCACGTGTGTGTGAGAGAGAGGGAGAAATAAAATATCTGTCTCTAATAGTGTAAATGATAAATGAACTGGTTTTTTTTTTACCTGATCTCAGCACAGCTCTGGATATGAATTATATATATGATAATGTCAGAAATTTTGCACACAATGTTGACTAGTAGAAGACACTCATTAGTGCAGTGGCTTCATCTTAATTGGTGTAAGATGCTTGCTTTTAAAGGTCATATGATTTCTTGTTATTGTGGGATATTTTAAGGAAAAGAATGTAAGAAATCAGCAGCAGCATAGATGACAATTTTTAGTTCATTTTTGCTGATAAAAACTGTTCATTTATAGAACCTTTAAGTTACTATAAGATAACAATATTAATATACTATAATTGACATGAAACTGCCTGCAACCTGTGATTTTGACAACACTGTTCTTAACTAATAAAAGGGTAGAACACACACAGAATGAAATATTAATGATGAAATATGATTAGTAGTTCTATCACCCTCATGCTATCACTGTTAGGTACCAGTTTTTATGGGCTTTGTTCTGTGTTGGGTGTATTAGATCCCATTTCCAGAGATTAGATCGATCTACTTTAGATCGACCTAATTGCCTGGGGGTTCACGCTAAATTGCTGCCAGCCGGGCGGACACGAAAGTTAATTACCCCCTTACAGCTTGTAGTAGGCGGGACGGACATTTAAGCCGGATTGTCTGACAGTAATCTAGTGAGACTCCCCTAGGGGATAGATCGATCTAAAAGCTCTGGAAATACAGCCTTAGTGCTCCAACTGATTATTAGAAGCTATAAGTAATTTACAACATGTAGGAATTGAATAAAAAGTTCATTTTAAGAACAAACTTGAACTTTTTGTGGCATCTGTAATTTTACTGCTTCTTTTACTGATTATAACTGGCTAATCATTGTGTATAGGATGGGTATATGCTGGTAGGTTTCCATTGATTTTCATTATCCTGAAATACCTGTCTCGTTATGTTAGTTTAATATCTTGTCATAACACAGGGATAAACTAACATTCCATATCACAGCAGATCAGGACAGCCCATACTGGGACATTCAGCTAGCCTGTCATCATTCCAAAGCTAATATGAGATTACATGGGTGTTGTCCCTTTTTCTTCCCATAATTTCAGCACCATATTTTGTACCTAATGGAGGATGACCCCCTGCTGGCCCTTATAAACCTGACCAATTGAGGCTCATGTCATATCGACATGTTCGATAAAAAGACCCCAGTTGTCATACCTGTATTTCCTTTCATTCATCATACCTAAGTGCTGCTCATTACTAAATGAATCATCAAGGACTGAGTCTGATCAATGGCTGTCTTGTCAGTGTGTCCATTCTTCCATGGTGACGAGCAGGTTGAAAAGAACAAATACTCGTAACTGAAATATGAATTTCTTTTATCTTTCAGGCCGCAGAAATCGCAGACGGAATGGGGTGAGGGAAGTTACAGCTGATAATGGAGTAAGTTCTTTTTTAAAAAAGAAATTTTCATAACCTGTAGTTTAGTGGAAAAAATTGAAACACAGGTGGTGCTTTTGTATATCATATTTTAACTGGAAGCGCAAACAGTGTTTTCATCTGCTGCATGTTGGCACAGCCCATTGTTAAAAAAGGTCACAGTTTGCATATATTCAGTATAGGAGAGGGTTGGTATGTATTTTCTTCTAAAGTTGTAGCACATCATTGATTTGTTTTATCATCTAAAGATGATTATATCTGTTTGTATGTGTGTATATTTATTTAGCATTTCTGAACCTTACTTACTGGTTATGCATACTTTATGTAGTGTTTATATTACATGTATTTGTAATGCAAGAAAAAAAGAAATGCATGGGGGAACAAGCCTTTGGTATGTTGGCGTATTATTTTGTCTAGAATGACACTTGAGGAATAGTTTAGGATATCATATATTAGATAGCTAATGGTTCCATTTTAATATTTATTTCATTTTGATATTTTTTATATTTAGCATCTTTAAAAAAAAAGAATAATACTGTAAAGAGAGTGGGCTGAAATTCCAATCCTTATAAACTTCTGAAAATGTTATAAGCAGTGGAGCTGATGCATTCGTTTGCTCTCCATCCGCATCTTTCAAAAGAAATACTTCAGCTGTGACATTAGCAAAGGTCTTCAGTCTACCATGTTTAATTTAGAGCCTTGCAGATGATGAATGGTTCTTGCAATGGTTTCACTGTCTGGTGATAAGAACTGCTCCTTTCAGATTGACACGCCCATGACAAATGGTGTCTGCCATCTCTCTTCACTAAACACATTATCTCACCATTTATGAAAACCTATTTAACAATAACATGTTTTTTTCTCATTAGAATCACACAAGCACTTATGTAACTTTTTTAATGGAATATTTTTTATTTTAGGCAAATCTCTTTTGAAAGCTTGTGACTGCTTAAAAAGATCCATAATTTGCATTGATTTCAATATGTTTTTTCTAACGGTGAGGACATTAAGAAAATGTGACTGCCCTTTTTATGCGTTTTCCTGGATAATTGATTGAGCGCTGGATTTTGTTGTTTTGAGGTTTCATCAGAAAAGTGGAAGAAAATAGATGAAGACTGAAAAGCACAGTCGTAATATATTTTAACAGAAGGAAATCTAGGAAGTCTGTTTATTACCATACTGAAAACTCTGAAAGGAAATTACATTGACGGGAATCACTTTTCAGAATTGATTACATCATTGTGATTTTTTTTTTTTTTTTTTTTCAAAATAACCATAGAGTATATAAGAAAAATTAATATACAGGTGTTTTTGTTATACTTAAAATGACAGGTGAAAGTTCCAGAAGTTATTACACACCAGAGAAATTCCATGCACAGCTAGGTGCACCATTTGCTATAGAAATCAGTTCTGGTAAAATTGAGTTCATCACAGCAGTGGAGCTATGAAAATTGTTCTCTGATGATGGTTTCTATTCAAACTTCCATGCACTTGTCGTGTTGCCATTCAGTGGGTGCCTAGCTCCATTCTCGGTCTATACAGTTTATCTTCACATGACATTTAGGGGAGAATTGCTAGATTATCTTTACTTGTTCATTATTGAAAGGGGTGAGTCAAAAAGATTATTGGCCGATGAGAAAGGGGAAGTCGAAAAGTCCGACCAAATGGGAAATTTTTATATCTATAGAACAGGGGGTTGAAGTTTGAATTAAAATGGTCTCAATGGCATCAGTGAAGCAAGAATCATGTGACATGGTGGAGCTGCCCATGTTAGTTTTACTGTAGCAGGAAGCTTATACTAACACTGGCTGTGTTATTCCTCCAACACTCCCTTCTTTACCTATGAATGCAAGAAGCCCGAGTGAAAGAGAGTGTCTTTCTTAGCGATTTAGCTGCACAAAGACCAGCAGGTAGCCAAGGTGCGTCAATATTGTCCCAGTTGACAATGTGATCATGTTGATCTGCTTGATGCTTGATCCCCACTCAGGTATGTGACCCTGGTGGAAAGCACTCTCTAAGCTTGTCCCCTGAGTAACTGGCCGATAACATTCACTGAGGCGTCCCCCTCACCCACAACATCTCATCCCACTGAGCTCTGGGTTGATTTGTCACCCAACACGTCATCTTGGATCACCTATGCCTGATTGGAACCAATGGGAGGGTCTGGTGAGTGATACAGAGGACTCCTTTTCCTCATCATCCCCAGTACTGCTCACAGACATTGAAACAGAGGCACAAGACGGAGCGGTTCTTTTTCTCGTTGGGTCAAGTCGTGAGGAGAATATGCCCAGGACCTTTCAGCTGGTTCAGGTATTGTTATATAGGTTTATGTAAATTTGACCAAGTGATCACAAGTTTGGATGTAAAAATTCTGCTCTCAGATATTAGCTTAAAATTGTGTATTACAGTTTGTCAATATATGGGAGAAAGACAGATTCATCAAATCTTTGTCAAGCTAAAAATCTGTTTATTATATGTAAAAATGCAAAAAAAAAGTATGCTTAGTACATGTATAGAGAATTGATATACTGGTACCCACCCCATCCCATCAGAATAAGTTTATATATACAGCTATATCTATATTATAAGCTGTATCTTTGAGTGTAAATATTCCATATAAAGTCATCAGTGGGGAACTTGCTGATGCTCACAGGGTTTTAGGTACTTGAAGGATATTGCATAATTCGCAGGTAGAAAATCTGTTTTACAAACATTGCAGACTTAATTCACCTGACATTGATTTTACGTTTGCACTGCTGACCTGTTTTTTCCTAACAGTCCACTGCCCATATTCTTGAGTAAGAATTTTATACATAGTATTCCAGTATAGAAAATGTTGCCATCATTTCTGTGGTGTTGTTATTACTGAGAAATTCAATATGCTGTTGATGTAATACCTTATGCAAAAAAATATATTGTTCGTCACGTGCCACATGTTTTTTAACATATTTATATAAATAAAAAGAAAGAAAGGCATGAACACACCCAAGAAAATTGGAGAGAAAGAAAGAAATGAGGTATTTAGATTGAAGTTTTTTTATGCCTCTGGGGATTTCTTGAATTTGCTTCTAACCTGACACCTGTGACATTTACATTTATATTTGTCAGCATTTTATCATTGTGCATCTGAATTATGATGAAAACAGGTTTTGGATCTGACACTTTATTAACAATGGTGAACCACATTGAACATGGAAATATTTTACCTCTTGTCCTTTTCTGCTTTTGTCAGAATTCTCTGGAATTAAAATTCCAATCAGCTATTTAGGTGCTCATAAAGCTCAAGGTAGTTAGTGTTAGCTTAAACACTCTCATAATTGATCGACCTGGTCACTGCTGTTGTTTGTCTCGGACCTCGTGATTATATCGCTGGCCATTAGGAAGACCAGTAATTATGTGTACCTGTATGTCTCTGCCTGCTGGCCACCAATACTTAATTGAGCAGACTGTTTGTTTAATATGTTTATCTTTCTCCTTCTTGAATACAGGAAAAACTTCCACTGTGCTGGGTTCTATGCAATAAGCTATTGTTACATTACGTGTGAGTTTTAATAGTCGGTGGCAAGGAGCACGTTGATATTTGCATTTACGCACAGTCCATGAGTTAAGACTTAGTAAAGATCAATATAATTGAATGACAAAAGCTGCGGTTAAGGTGTAGCTTTTACATTAGCGTTTGCATTTAGCTTAGGACATTATACAGATGTGATCCTCCTCCACTTGATACACCTTTAGCTGCCCTAGTCTATGGGATCTTATGTCCTGTTAGAAGTATTACAAGGACCATCATCAAAAGAGGCATCATTTTCATTAAACTGGAAAAGTGAGCTGACATTTGATACCTGAAGGACCTGAGAGAAGGTGTCACATGGGATACAGGAGCCTTACCTATATATTCACCTTGCTTATTAACGGCCATGGACAGTGTGGTTGATCAATTCTTAGAGTGCTAGAACATTTGGTTATCTGTTAATTGGAAAAGACTGACTGCTTGGGATAAATCAACTTCTTGGCTGCCATGTATTTTGTTAACGGGCAGGTAAGTTGTTCATCTTATGAAACCCGTGGATTGCACATGCATTATGATAAAGCTTTACTGCATAAGCTGCTTTAAGAATTCATGTAGAGAGACATATTTACATCTAGTTTGAATACAGACAGTTCTCAGTGAAAGCATTTAAAATGTGTGTGTCTCGATCCTGACAGTTATTAACACTGTGACCAGGTCGTACAGTAGATCTGTAAAGAGGTTTTTGTGTCACCACAAGATGGTAGCACAATCTCATTATTTACTTAAAGTAATGGTTCAGAAAAAAAAAAGTAGAAGTAGCAACTGGTTGATTTGGAAGTCTTCCAGGATTTTTAAAAAAGAGTATCCTTGACATCTGTGATAGTGAAGTTGTGCTCTAATGGAGCCTGTGTTGACTTGACACCAGCCAGGTTTCATAAGGGTGCAAAGCAAACTAAAAGAAACAGCTGTGAAAGGTTGTTCTGAAATAAATGTCCTTAGATAAATAAACTTAAATTGTCAGTCAGTTTTTAGCATTTAAAATTGGAATGTGAAATACCAAGGGTTGTCAAGGCTTGGTATGTCCTTTTAGTTGCAGTACAATTTGCCTCTACACTTATGTTATCAGCTGCTTTTATAATTACTGCTTTTTTAAAAGTAAAAAGCCCTTTTTTAAGATGGAACTGAGGAATATTTAGAGAAGCTTCAAAATTCCATTGCAAGTTAGTGAAATGATGTATAGTACTATAAACATCTGCAAAAGTTAAATTTTTTGCATGATATCAAACATTGACTTTATTTTATGAATGAAATTATTAGAATGCATATGTATGTCAGCAAAATTGAAAACTATCAGAATGCCAATTTTGCACGCTTTGCTTTTAGCTTATCTGCATCTTTATTATGGGTTATATTTCTTTCACGAGAGTCTTGACTCTGATATTGAAAAGTGAACACTGAGTCATGTACTGAATGGTGTCATGCAAGTATACTT